GTGGCGAACGAAATGTATCAATTTTTGATGCGTGTCAACAAAGCCATGGGGCGTAAAGAACCCTTGAATTATGCTTCGCGCTTGGCACAATAATATTAATTCTCATATGCAAAAACGTTAGTTCGACTCTGAATATTACCACGAGTCTTCCGTCAGCAACAACAAACGAACGCCTGAATCTATACACGTACACTCGAATAGAGAACCTAGATAATACTAGTAACGTTAGTAGATTATACATATAGTCGGTAAAGATCGGAACTGTAACGAAGATAGGCGAATATAAATTTGTCACATAGACACCAATCACAGAGCCTCGGTTATAGTCGGTGAAGATCGTGTTTGTAACGAAGACGGGCGAAATCATTGGAGCAGCCCAGCTAGACTGTTGGCGCCGACGGCAGGGGCGGCAACTTCTTCAAAGGGAAACGCCTGTCGATCAAGTATAATATGTGCGTGTGGCTATGGGAAAATGCCTCGCTCTAAAATGTATCACGTAGTTCTGAATCGATAATCACAAACAGCATGGAGCTTCTACAACATATAGCGTCTATGCAAACAGGGACAATATCAAACTCGTTATTTTTGGCCACAGAGTCGAAGCATTTAAAGCTTAAAATTTTAAAAAGTGGTTTCTAAGGCGAAGTCATGCCTTGCAGAAAATGTTGACGATACACATTACGTGTTCGACCCAAGGTCATTGACCTCCAGCTTGCGTTGTTCCAGCGGAGAAGAGCGTCTGGCAGTTTTTATAATAGCGTCAGATTTTGTTTGTTAAATCATACACAGGCATTCATGCATCTATCATTCTTCCAACTAGTCCGTAGTTATGTGAGATGTTTATTGGAATCACACGGATCGGAACAAACTCAGAGTATCAAATGGTAAACATCAATCGCCCACGGCCGAGACCGCGGTACCCGCCGCGCTGATAATCCCCGGTATTGTCCACAAATTATCAACAAATACGTGAAAATGAGGTGGAATAAGTGTCATGTAAATCTCAGAATACAAAGGCTGCTCATTAACGACCGAAATCTTGCGAAAGATTTCTTGCGCAGAAGAAGTTTCGCAGCGGCGTTTCCATTACCAGTGGACAGTTCTGCGAAATTCTGCGGGACGTCCCGCAATCTTACGCACGGCCTTCCGCAATCTTACGCACGGCCTTCCGCAATATTTCGCACGGCCTTCCGCAATATTCCGCACGGCCTTCCGCAATATTCCGCACGGCGTTTCGCGATATTCCGCACGGCGTTTCGCGATATACCGCAGGACGTACCGCGGTATTTCGCAGAACGTCCCGCGAAAACTGATGCGTATTTCGTGGCCTGTGCTGTAAGGCACATCACACACGGCATGCCCCATCCACACAACATCAGGTAAGGCACATCACACACGGCATGCCCCATCCACACAACATCAGGTAAGGCACATCACACATGGCATGCCCCATCCACACAACATCAGGTAAGGCACATCATACATGGCATGCCCCATCCACACAACATCAGGTAAGGCACAGTCATCACACACGGCATGCCCCATCCACACAACATCAGGTAAGGCACATCACACACGGCATGCCCCATCCACACAATATCAGATAAGGTACTCTACAATCATACATGGCATACCCCATGTTTTTGGCAGAAAATTTGAGTTCCGCTGTCGGGAATTCTCTTTAGTGAGCTTTCCTGCTGTTGCCATAAAAGCTCTGCTGTGTATAAAGTGGGCTTTTCTGTCACTGTTGATTGAACTGTGCACATTTAAGAAAAAGTTTGTTTTTTTTCATTCCTAAATATCATATGATAGATGACTTTGATGCACTTTTTATTCCCCAGAACGGCCCAGAGAGTGGTACAGATTGTGCGAGAACACAGAGCGACACCAGCGACTATCGCTATCATCAACGGCAAACTTAGAATAGGTAAAGCTTACACCTGACATGTACTGCATACATGTATTTTATCTATGGCAAGTCCACATTACTGGCCATGGCCTCCTTCAGTCAATTTTGCCCATGGTAATATCCTATTTGATATCAGCCCTACAGCTTCGGCTATGCATGACTGAACAGTGCTATCTGAGAATAACAGTCTCTGCCACATAGGGCAGGTCTGTAAGCTAACTCAGGTCTATTGCAGAGCTTTTTTCTCTTTTGAGTTGTTTAATGAAGGATAAAATATTGAATGCAGGTCTAACAGAAGATGAACTCGAGTGGCTGGCTTCAACAGAAAATCCTGTCTTGAAGACATCAAGAAGAGACTTGTCCATGGTTGTCAGCAAGGTACCTCAAAATTGTTTCGTTGTCTAACAGCACTACGTCCCGACTGGTGCTGTAGCAGACACCTTGTGGTGTAGGGTTACATTATGTAGCAAGTTGTCAACAAGGTAGCCACACCCGTAATTTTTTTGTCTCTTCTACGAGCACTAAGTCTCAAACAACAATGAATAAGGAGATCTGACTGGTGCTGTATCAGACGCCCCGTGGTGTAGGATTACATTATGTAGCAAGTAGCAGGGAAAAGTTGGAGGGACTGGTCACCATATATACTAGTATGTATGAATCTGTTTCTTTTTATTTATTTCACCAGCAGTAACACTCAGGTACATAACAACCTGTTTTTCAGGCAATGAATTTGTTTAAACAGCAGTAGGTATTTATATATAGTTTGTTAGGATAGACCATGTGAAGGTAAACATTATGCATTTTCTCTGCATTTGTGACCTTGCTAGTTGACAATTTTCAGGGTTGGAGTGGGGGCACCACCGTGGCGGCCACCATGATAGCAGCTTACAAGGCCGGCATCTCCGTGTTTGTGACTGGGGGCATCGGAGGAGTGCACAGGGGAGGGCACTCATGTACGCAGTCCAATAAGTTTGTATACCTGAAACTTGCTTCATTCAAATTCAGATTTAAACTGTACATTCTACATTCACAACTTACATATTCTACACATTGAACTGTGTATTTCCAGTTGGATCCTCTAAAAAAACTAATAACAACTTTATTTCTCAAATATCCATAACTAGAACATGCCTTAACAAGTTTTGCAGTCTCTCATTTCCTGTTTTTTTTAAATTGTGTATTCATGACAAGAGCCAAACCTTACAGCAGGGATGAAACTCCCCGAATTGCAAAGAGTTTGCACTCGAATTTCAAATACAACAGACAAGACACTTGGTATATACATCCCTCATAAACATTATAATACTTGTACATCATTTTATACCAAGCAAACCTTCTGACTTTTGTTATGTACAGATGAGGCATAGGAAAGATAAAGCATGACTTATGACAGTTCTGTGTTGTACAGGGTTATGGCCCTATGTAGAAAAGACATGATTGTGTTTTTCATTCTTGATGCTGGAACGTAGTTTATAAGTAGACTTACATGTATTTCCTGCGCCCATGCTTGCTGCAGCGCTGGATGTGAGTGCGGATCTGACAGAGCTGGGCCGGACGCCGATCGCCGTGGTGTCAGCTGGGGTCAAGTCTATCCTGGACATCGGTCGCACGCTCGAGTACTTGGTACAGACTATACGTGTCCTTTTGTACTGCCAGATTAGTTAAGAGAAAAATAGCAGTGATGAACCGGGACGAGGGGGGTTATAAACTCAGCCACATTTGGGACAGTGTTCTCATCGCAAAAGCAGCACCTACATCTGCTACATATAGCGGTGAGAAGCAGAACTCTTACCTCTGAGCATCAGCACTTTGGTGAGAAATTTTGGTTGTGTAAAAGAAAACACCTGTATCCTGTGTTTTTTCCTGTAGGAGACCCAGGGCGTCTCCGTGCTGACCTACGGCCACACCACGGACTTCCCAGCATTCTTCACTCAGAAGAGCGGCTTCCACTCGCCCTACAACATCACCACGCCTGAGGAGGCCGCGGAGGTCATAGGTCAGACAGTTTCATTTGTGTCAGCATTTTGTAGTGACAGTCGAACCGCAGGTCACCGTAGAACGCGTTATTCTCTAAGATACGGCGTTTGCCGGGTCACGATTTGACCCCGTTGCATGGGTGTAAACAACTGCCTATAGTGCAGCAAAAAGACCTTAGACCTACACAATGTTTACATTTTTTCATATCTACAGGATTTGCCCAGTACAACCATGTAGATAGTTCGTGCATTGCAAAATGACAGCGAGTGCTACGGCCTTCCAAACATTAGCAATTTTTGGTCAGTTTATTTGTGCTTGTCTTTTTTACTATTTAACTAGATCCCGTTAGCTAGTACCACAGTGTGATAGCCCACTTCTTTACCTTTACATTGATACCAATGACCCCTGGTAAATTTTATGGCAAACGGGTTTGCCCCCAAAAAAACTGTGACGATGCGCACATCGCGGTGGTCAAATTTTAGCCCAGTTGTAAGCTACTGACACACACCATCCTGAGTTTCCGCTACATTTTGATACATTTCGCGTAATGTCATAAAATTCGTTTTTTGGTACGAGAAACTGTATGAATGTGGCTACCACATGCAATATAATAAGTGATATTATAACATTCAAGTATATACAAAAAGAGGCATTTAATACAAGGTTCTGACCATTCAAAAATCGTCAAATTTGAAGTCAATCGGTTTCGAACTCCTGCGTTCGATTCATGGAACCAAGGCAGCGCGTTCCATTTTTCGCACCGCCAACAATGTTGCAACTTTCAACCCCTGTTTGCGAAAGTTCGCAAAAAGAAGGAATCAAGTTTTGTAATCACAAACAGACTTTCTGAAACCCATTCCAAGTCAGACTTATATCATGAAGACGCTAGAGAAAGTGGGATTCATGTGCAACTATACCAATGTCAGCACATATGCCCGATGTTTGCATATTTACAGTAACAGGTCATAGTGTCCGATTTCTCCTTCAAAAATTAGGTCATGAAAAATCAACCTGTTGTTGTATTTGTTCATGTCCAAATTCCTTCTCTTTCTTTTTCATCCGTAAAGTGGGTATCGTTTTGAAGCTTACTATTTCGTCGTTATTCTTTCACTTTCATTTTTGTTCTATGTAACTTTTAACGGAACATTTTTAAAGGCAAATAAACTGTAAAGAAATTACACTTTTTCTCAAGGTCGAGCTGCAATACACATTGTGCAACTTCAAAACTAAGTACACAGGTGTCAAGCCAACATAACTATATTTCAGCCACATCTTACATTACAGGTGTATTGGTTAGAACTAGTTGCAAAAGTTTGCGATTCGAACAAAAATCGTTGAGAATTCGACTGAATGAGCCCAACTTACTATCGGTTACTATATTGTAACAACTACAGGATCCCAAAAGAAACAACACACGATAGATGGGGAGGGTCTATACTTTATTAAACAATACACCAAATCGACGATGAAATATGGCAAACGGGTTTGCCCCCAAAAAACTAAAGGGTACCTATCTCGAGTGGAATCATCTCCATCAAACACGGTCAACTTTGAAACCTCGTTTCTCCAACAAACACCACCGGTAATGTACATCTACGACCTTGAGCGTGACGCCGGCCCTTCTTACATCTCACATTAACGTATGACAAGGAAACGCTTACGCAAAGCGGAGTTACAAGCGAAACAGTAAACAGTAGCAAACTCTCGCGGATTCTCGCGGATCACATTACCTTGGAAAAGAAGCGCGAGATTTAAACGAGATCTTAGAGAGAGCTGCGCAGAACTGATGCGCACAGCGGTCTGCGGTTCGACTGGTGACTTTCTGGTCTAAAGGACCATGTAGGGGGAATTGAATTTGTGTTGGCAGTGCTGGTTTAGATGTGCAGTAGATGTGATTAATAAAGTTATAGAAATCCATCTGCTCATGGTAACAGGTTAGAAGCATTCCTGTCATTATAATGACAATGAAATGAGAATATGGAGGATTAACTTCCATCTCAATGAATGAATTGGTAATACAGTGTGTATATGCAATGCTTACAGATATGTTTGCATTTGTATTGTGTTGAATGTTTATGTCGTGTTGATATCTAATCTAATGGATATCTAATAAAACAAACAAACAAACAAAACAAACAAAATGTTGTCACAAGTTAGTCAGATGATGACAGTCCTAACTGTAGTGACGTGAACCAAGTAAATGTTTTAGGACTGCTCCACCCATGCAGATACCAAGGCCACGCACCAGTAACAGAAGACAGATGTTAGACCATGGCGTTATAACTCCATGGTTAGACTTAGCCCTCCTACAAGCTTGTCACTGTATAGAGTAGGACCATAGAACACAGTCATGAAAATTCCTCTAGCGTGAGATTCATTTCTTGAATGTTGGAGAGAACACTACACCAACAGTTTTGTTCATGTCTACTTCAGACAACCATTTCTCCTTGGGCCTGGACAGTGGACTGCTCATTGCTGTGCCGATTCCAGAGCAGCATTCAGCACAGAAGGTGGAGGATGCCATCCAGAGGGCCGTGGAACAAGCAAGGTTACATCATAAGAGACTTAGTTTCGGATACCTGAAAGATTTAAGAACACTGATACAATGTATTATCATTAAGCTATTGTCCAACCAGTTGTCCTCGCAGCTAGTTTCCGATAAATAAATACATGATATTAAGCAGATCAGCGGCTGCAAAGACAGTATCCATTTGCCACAGCTGAGGACTTTATCTCAATGGCCAGTTCTAACCATAACGCTTTTGCATCTGCTTAGAAATAACCTGCTTGCTTGCTTACTTTGCTTATATACTAGTATGTCAAGTCCTGCAGCATGTACAAAATCATGTACATGGACTGTAACATCAAACTGTTGTCACTGCTTCATTGTACACATGTACATGTACTATCTATCATCAGCAGTACTGGACAGACAGATTGTGTTGTTTGTTCCAGGGAAGAGGGTGTGCGAGGGGATAAGGTGACTCCATTATTGTGTTGTTTTTTCCAGGGAAGAGGGTGTGAGAGGGGATAAGGTGACTCCATACATCCTGGGGAAGGTGGACAAGCTGACTCAGGGAAAATCTCTCGCAGCTAGTATCCTTCCAATGTTTGCCTGACAACACAATCAATCCATCATCAACAGGCATTAGGTTCTGATGCATGGCAGCTACAGACGTGCACAGGTCCCACCAGGTTGTTCTGTTTTAGCACAAATGTTGGACATTATATTATTGCTCTTGAGTCTGTCTTTAAAAGCAGAGACTTCATTCCAGCACTGTAGCTACTCTGTGGATGTAATCTGCTCGGACTTTGAAGCAACCTTTCATAGGCAATATACTCATAGACATTACCCCTGGTATACTCATCAGCAACGTACTCATAGGCAATTCAAACTCTGCTACTGGATATATTGTGGAGATTAGTTCCAGATTTCCAAGTGACATCCACCACACAAGATGGCTGTCACTAGAAAAATCTGGAACAAATTTCTGTACATAAGTCATAACTATAGTAGAGTTTGAATTTTCTATGTGTATCGTCTAACCCTCATCAACGTGTCAATGATACAATTTTGTTCAGTAGTCATATCAATGATAGAAGCCTAACATGATGGCTGGTACTTCGCTGATGTTCAATAATTCTAGGAAGGTTGTCCTCTGCAGGCCTTCATGTGGCTGCACAGCCCGATCCTTGGCCTGCAGGTCCTATGGCAGGATGGACATGTGAAGCTCTGTGCTGGTGGTGACAGTGTAGCCTTCTCTTCTCTTCAGCAGCCTCTCTTAGGGCTTTCTCCAAACCTAACATGTTTGAAAAAAAAAAAACATAATCCCATACAGTGAAAGGCAAGTGCAGTGCCCTTAACTCCCCACACAGACATTGCTCTCATGGAGAATAACGCTGCTGTTGGCAGCCAGCTGGCCTGGGCCCTCTCACACAGGAGGAGGAAACACTACCACAACCTGCCCACCTCCAACCTGCAGGCAAAAACTCCACAGGCTGACGTCCTCATCAAGAGCAACAAACCTGTGTGTATTTCACTATTGTTGTCAATGTGTTTATGCATACAGTTTTTCCTGTAGTAAAAGGTTGAACTTTACTCCAACACACAATTGTACAGGGATCAAATTTTCAGCGACCACTGTCGCCTTCATCAGGATAATTAATGCCCAATCACTTCACAACGTGATCTCGCGAGATTTACGGTTTATAAACACGTGACCTTATTCGCACAAGATTTTACTGATACGTGACGTAAGCAATTGATCAAAAGTGCCAGGGAGTTTATATCATACACCATCTCTATTAAGTGAAGGCTGAAGTGCTCTGATATATATGGCCTCCTTAATGTCTCTTAAAAAGTATTTTTATCTCGGCCGCCTGAGCGGCCGAGGTATTGTGCTCCAAAATATGTACGTTGGATCGTGTTTTCGACCGTGAAAAAAACCCCAATGAAACCAATTACTCTGCGTGTATACTTTACTTTGTGGGGTCGAGCTACCGGATGATAGTGTCGTTATTCTTATACAACGAAGTTGCTAAAAAAGAGGAAATGCTGTTTACCACAAAACCATTGTTTTATATCATAGTATGCATTTAAGGTTCTAGAATTTCGCTAATAGCTGCGGTAATTGGACCAATAAATCAATGACATAAATTATGTACATTAACCTTCCATATTTGCTTAAGTCGCAAGATGTCGCTTTTGATTGGTGAATAAATCACTGTGACGCACGTAAATATTCACTTGAAATGAGAAATTACCGCCCAACAAAACGGACCATTAGATTCCCAGTGCTGTATTACTCTTTGTTCTTGTGGTCAACTTGTTTTCTTTGCTTGAATCGCGTAAAAGACCAAGGAAAATACAATGAAATCGGCAATCGCCGAGCCGCGCCGATCTGCCGCCGCCATCTTGGATTTTTGGAAAGCTGCAATTTGGCCCAAACCGCTAGAGGGGGCGAATTAAAATGTTTAATATATTCGGTCTGAAGTTTTAGTAGCTCTAGCAGTAGAGGAGAAGTTTGATAATGCATAGAACGGATAAAATAGAATAAAATTAAATGAAATAAAATAAAACAGAATAAAAAATAAAATGAAAATAAATAAAAATAAATAAAAATTAAAAATAAAATAAAATGAAATGAAAATTATTGTAGTGGTTACATATACTTAACGTTATATTGTATTTAGCAATGATCATTTAGCAAAAAAAATTCGGTACTGAAACTCCGGTATTCAGAATCAGGTACAGGTACAGGTCCGGACCTGGACCTGATCCTCTGGACCTGGAAGAGCCGAACAGGTACCCACCCCTATTGCTAGTGGTGTAATATGGCTGTAATGTCGACACTGTTTGTTGAGTACTAGTACAGTATATTTATATTCCTAATCAAAAGTAACAGTGAAAGATTTGCCCATACATTGGTATTGAAATAAAGAGCACATTTTAGTACCGTTCACCTGTCAATTTGGTCATTTTCCGGGGGGTACGTTTATTCCGGAGGGTATGTATATTAGACTTTGAAGATTTGTCCGGGGGGTATGTTTATTCCGGGGGGTATGTTTATTAGGGACATGAGAGTAGTATGCATTAAATGTTATAAAGATTTGGTAATAACTGCTGCAATTGCACCAATAAACCAAGTTTAAAAAATTACGTTTTAATATTACCTTGAGACATCTGAATAAGTCAAGACGAAGGTTATGGAAGTGCACTATATTCCTCGGTCGCAAGATGTCGCTTTTGATTAGTGGCCTGAATGGAATTTCCCATATCGAAGATCCCGGATGTAACGCATGAGGCTGGTAAGGTATTTACTTAGCAAAAATAGCAAAATATCAGGAATTATAATGGTATTAGGCATAGAGCCATAGGATAAAAATGGAGCTAAAGATACTACGGGCAAGGGCAATCAATTACATTGTGTTTTATTCGTGCTGTTGAACAGATTTAAACAGAGTTACGTTATCGCCCCCCTCCCCCCCCCCTGTGAAAATTTATGAATTCGTACAACCTAACAATATGTTAGTGCATTAAGCTTGATAACGTTTGACAGCTCTGTTATTGTAGCCACTCCATTTTGTGTTGTCTCATGAAGTTATACCAAAATAAAACATTTCACTTTTGACACATGCATCTTTGCTCTTTATTCATCAGTATTGTCCAGACATTACAATTTCAATGAAACATACAGATGAAACATAGTTCCTCTGTAATATACAACATGACACTACTGATTCCAAAAAATGTCTTCCCCATACATAGAGCTGTGTAACCTACTCTAACAGAGAAATTAGCTCCACATACATATCCTAAACTCTTTCCTGTCTCTCAAATCTTCAATCACAAATGAAAATCTGTATCTCTACCTAAACATTTTCCCTCCCAACATCTGCTTCGAGATTAATATTTTTCACTAATTCCATTGAAGCAAATGATAATGGAAGCCAACTTATTACCCTGTTTGGTGTTACAGGTATGAACATACTAGGTAATACATTCTTTCCTCTCTAGCAGTTACACAAATCTATGTGGACATCCTCCAAGAACACAAAACTACATGGCCAGCGGCCGAGATAAACTTTTTTCAAAAGTCTTGTTTCCTGTGTGTCGTGTTGTGTGTTAGAACAGACCACAGGAAGAATAGCTACTGTCATGTACAATGTACAATGTACATGACAGTAGCTACGGTATTCTTTCATAAAAACTCAAACTCATGAGTATGGATAACTATAGATGGATTTCTTTCCATGCCTGTACCATGACACTTTATTTGATATTGTAATATTTTCATTCAGTGCTTATGAAGCAATCACATGCTACATCAAATATTTCAAAGTACAATTTCATAGTCGAACATGATATTTCCCGGTATGTGCGTGTATGGTTAAAGATAGCTTACTACTACTATATTTGATAGATATCGTTTTACCAGTTTGAACCATAGAGGTTTGACAATCTGGATGGGTAATTTAAGTCTACATATAAATTGTATCATCCTTTCATTGAGATGAAGACAATACTTATACAAAATCGGGTGTTCTCTTAAAAAACATCTTGATTGATCTGCTGGGAAAGCAGAGACATTAAAGATTCCACCTGCCCTTAAACAGGTTGTTGTTGGAGCCAGTGTGGTCGACTTTGTGGCAAAGACCAAGGACCCAGAAGTCAAGGTGGGTGACTTTTTATGAAGAATTGTTTTATTATACAGCAGGGGGAGCTAGAGCAGGGCTCAAATTTCATTTTTGGGCACCTAACCTAAAAAATGAGGGCACAATAAATCTTTTGGAATAAGTAGAATGTGTCAGCAAAAACTAACTACTAGACTGTTTCATTTCTAACAAAAAGTAGTTTTTTTATTATTTTTCTGACACTTAGGCCACACCAATTTGATTTCTTGGTTAATGGATTCGCCGCTTCATTTTTTTCTGATTTGAAAATAAAAATAAAAATTCAGAATCAACTGCAAGATGCTCATATTTTGCCCTGAACAGTTGAAAACAGTCCTTTTCTTGCTACTTGTTACAGTCATCCCATATTTCAATGCAGTGGTATCATTAAAAGTTTAAAATTCATTGTTTAAATTTTGAACCAGCCTGGTGTGTTGACTTCATGTCTCCTATCATAACCATTTTGGGCAATAATACTACTATTAGGATGCCTAGGCCTGTTTTTATTTTTATCTATTTTTCGCCCGCCCGCTCCATTATTTTTCTAGAAAAATCCGTTAACCAAGAAATTAAATTGATGTGGCCTTAGATGTTAGGAATATGCTGTATACTACTGTACAGTTAACATCTTCAGATACAAAAATCTAAGAAAATATTTGGGTGCACTGGTAAGGACATAAGGTAACATGTTGAAAGCTTGCATGATAGCTTGAACGATTAATAGATGTACAGTACTAACTTTTCTTGTCATGTCCACAGCTTGGAGGCATGACAAACCCAGGGACACTGACACAGTCGTTCGGTGGAGTTGGTAGGAACGTTGCAGGTGAGGGTTAGAATTATCATGTTCACATAATTTGAAAAATCTTTATTTTCATTTGCGTATAAGATTTGCTAATGATTGTTGTTTGTTACCACTTTTTAAATGTAAAAATGAATTAATTACTAGTATTAGTTCACTTGCAACCATTGCACCACTCAGAACTATCTGTATTATGACAGCACAGGGAGAGGAAAACATTGCAAACTGACTTTTTGGAGGTCTTCATCATTGTTTCAGACTGCATGAGCCAGCTGGGTGCCATGCCTCTCCACACAATTTGAATAATCTTTATTTTCATATATGTGTAAGATTTGCCATTGTTGTTGTTTGCTACCACTTTTTACTGTAGAAATGAATTAAGTTCACTTGTAGCCATCGTAGCCCTTAGAATACTGGCTCAAAACTATCTGTATTACCACAGCTAAAAGCACAGGGGAGAGGAAAATATGCTGATTTTCAGTGTGTCCTTGTTTCAGACTGCATGAGCCAGCTGGGCGCCATGCCTCTGCTGGTGTCTGCAGTAGGGAATGACCCTCATGCTGCCTCCTTCTACATCTACTCAACTCACATGGTGGGCTGTTTAAGTTCTTACCAAAGTAATGTGCAGATACACTCTACATGCCCATAGCCAGGATTTTGAATGAGGGGGTTCTTCCCACTGCTTGAGGGGACCTCGAGCGCCGTAGGCCTGAGGCGAGCACTGAAGGCGCGAGGTTCCTAGGGGGGTCCGGAAAATTTTGAAAAATGAACCTTCTAAGATGGCATTTCGTGCATTTTTGAGAGGATTTCCAAGAAAAAAATCAGAGATACATTTTTATTCAATGACAAAGGGAGCAGTTTGTCTACGATTCCACTTCCAGTCCATCTTTTCAAGCAAAATCTTGGACCTTTACATAAAAAGTGGACCTTTACATAAAAAGTGGACCTTTACATAAAAAGTGGACCTTTACATAAAAAGTGGACCTTTACATAAAAAGTGGACCAAAAAGTGGACCTTTGAGCCTTGTTGGGGGGTTCTTCCAAACGGGCATGCTCTATGTGAATTGATTGTATATAAATTCTTACTTTAGACCAAGGAAATCCTGGATGGTTTGTGTCAGGAAGGACATTAGAGAGAGTGGCATTGCCAGTGTGATCCAGTGCTGGACAGAGCCCTTTGTTAGGATAGCCTGGGTGCCATCCTCCGTATTTTCTGCTGGCTCCCTAATGTCGCTGGCTAATACACAGTGTTAGGGACCCTGCAGCAGCCCCTAGACTGGAGACTACTACATGCTGTGTTGAACTTCAGCTGTTATTATGTTTTCCCCACAAAAAAAGCTTTTTTTTTTTTTAAATAACACCCGTCTTTGTGGTTCAGGATGTGTCAGGGACCCTTGCTACAATATAATCAAAGACTGGATACTACTACTCTAATGTACTCACTCACTGTCCGGTTTATCGTCTGTTGTTCCCCATCTTCCGAGGGTTAGACGTGCTTGCACAGTACAATTGGGGCTTGATGGCAGCACGCCACTTGTCTCTGTCCTGTGGGTTGATCTTGTCTAAGTTCAGGTGGTGGAGGTCCTCCTTTATATTGTCGAACCATTTCCTCCTAGGGCGGCCACGGGGGTTTGGATCCTCCACATCTAGTGTGAGGATCCTCTTTGGCCATTTGTCCCTGTCCATTCTCTGGAGGTGGCCGTACCATCTCAGTCTGTATCTACTACTACTAACCCCACTTCTGTATGTTCCAGGATGTGTCAGGAGTGTCGCAGCTGGAGGACCAGAGGACGGCGACGTACTGCGCGGTTCTGAACGGAGACGGGGAGCTGGTGCTGGGGGTGGGGGACATGGACATCAACAACCGGATATCACCGGACTTGGTAACCACTCACTCACTCACACCCACACTTACACACACACACACACACTCGCGCACTCACACACACACACAGATCAACAACCGGATATCACCCGACCTGGTAACCACGCACGCACACTCACTCACTCACTCACACACACTCACACTCACACACACACACACATCAACAACCAGATATCACCGGACTTGGTAACCGCTACAGATTGTTGTTAAAAATTACATATACACATGTACATGTAAATCATGTTTTTTTACCATGCCAACAGGAGTAGATTCTAGGTATATGTGAATCCAATATGTCTGCCATCCATAACCTTTACCCCGTCGATCTCTTCCATATTATCAGGTGTCCAAATTTGCCTCGGCTATAGAGCTGGCCCCGTTTGTGTGTGTGGACGGCAACATTCCAGAAGAAACCGTTCGCTACATCCTCAAACTGTGCCACTATCTGCAGGTGCCAGGTGGGTAACATTACCGGGAGGTTGACATTTTCTGCAATGTATCAATGAACAAGTGTGGCTACTAGTACATGTATGTTGCTGACTTCTACTCATGTTCTTGACAAAGTAAACATGGTGAAATGATACAGTAGCTCTACCAGCAATAGCCGCCAGTGTCCCATGTGTATGGTATGTTTTGACAATTCCAATAAAATAAAATCAAGTACTAGTATCAAATCAAAGTACATGTGGTTTTATGTTCAACAAAAGTTAAATTTATTCTTACTAATTAATTTATCTGTGCTGCAGCTTAGTATTTTGCCAGGCTTCACCAAATGTCAGAATATTATATGATCATATTATATACTGCACAACGGCCAAGTCAAACCCAAGACTTTAAAAATGGTACATGGTGCATACTGCTTTCTCTGCTTAGCACTCAGCATTTCCAGTGGGATAGCCTCCTGCTATAGTGATAATGCACAACTGTGTGGCCCAAGGGCTACAAAATGGAGATGGAAGCCGCCATATGTGACCATGCTAATGGTTGCGGGCTTTGACTTCATCTTTTCTTGCAGCCTGTTAGTATTTTGCCAGGCTTCACCAAATGTCAGAATATTATATCATATCATATATCATATCATATTATATGAGCCATCATGTTTTCTTGCAGCCTGGTATGAGCCCACCTGTGTGGTGAAGTCCTCCAAACCTTTTGAGTCGGACGCCTGGAAGAACATAACTTACCTGTCGCCGAACTTAACCGAGCTGAGAATGATCTACCGTATGGTGACCGGGCACGAGGAACCAGTAGGTAAGGACAGAAACACTTCTAATATAATTCTAATCTCCAAGCAGATCATGTGGTGGCAAGGCAGTATCTATTGGCCAGAGGAGTGTCAATTAGCCATTGAAGGCTTATTTATAATACTGGATACACCACGAACCGCTGGGTAAGGTCGGGAAAAAAAACTTCCAGTATTCCTGTATAAATTATGCAGTGGTAAGATTTCATGATCCATCCATCCATATCCGGGCCTTGATTATTCTGCTGCCGGCTTCCCTGTCTCAGGGGTGGGCAGCAGTCGGCTAGACTGGACTCCATGTCTCCATGTGGTCCTGTCCAGTGGGTCAGTGTTAGACAGTCCACACATTCTAATGTCATGATGGCTGCTTTAATTGAATTTGATTTTTTTGTATGTTGATGAAGGTTAGACATCCAGGTAAATAATACTCAACAGGAAATTCAAACTCTACTACTGGATAAATTATGGAGATAATAGTGACATCCACCAAACCCCAGCCAGCTTTTTTAAAAGCATTTCTTGTTTCTTCAGTTCCAGAGGAGGAGCCAACATTGTCCCAAAGACTGCACGAGGCTGTGTTCCTAGTCCATCCACATGTGCATTTTGTATTCCATTATATGTACAATGTACATGTACATGTACCAGTATATGCAGTTGTGTTGAATGAGGTTTCTTGTATTTACATGATGGTCTGTTTTCTCTCCAGTCCCCGAGGAGGACCCAACATTGTCCCAGAGGCTACAGGAGGCCGTGTTCCTAGTCCGTCCGCTAGTGCATTTTGTATTCCAGTATATGCAGTTGTGTTGAATTACATGAGATTTTTTGTGCTGATGTATGTTTTCTCTCCAGTCCCCGAGGAGGACCCTACGTTGTCCCAGAGACTACAGGAAGCCGTGTTCCTAGTCTGACCGCTGCTGGAGTACACCTGTATGCAGTTGTGTTGAGTTACATGAGGTTTCTTGTATTTACATGACGGTGTGTTTTCTCTCCAGTCCCAGAGGAGGACCCGACCTTGTCCCAGAGGCTACAGGAGGCCGTGTTCCTAGTCAGATCGCTAGTGCATTTTGTATTCCATTATACATGTACCTTACCTTAGACCTTGTATGTTTTTTTTAGTCCCCGAGGAGGACCCTACGTTGTCCCAGAGACTGCAGGAGGCTGTGTTCCTAGTCCGACCGCTGCTGGAGTACCTGCACTGCGTGGTCGTGACTCTGAGCAGGGACGGCGTTCTCGTGTGCCGAAACACAGAGCAGCAGTCCAGCTTTCCTGTGGGGAAGGGAAACAACACCGTCAAGGTAAGGTTCTGTATAGCCCATTTGTCAGCGCATTGTGTACAGCCCAAATACAAGAGTTGTACATGTACTAGGAAATTCTCCATTGTCAGAAATTCTATTTTGTAATTTATGTACACGTGGGGAAGGGAAACAACACCGTCAAGGTAAGGAAGAAAACTTTATGTTGTAAAATGAAGAAACAATTAGTAGAAAAAACACTGCAACTTCAGACGTTCATTGTACATGTGTTTAGAGGAAGCAGTCAGTCCTAACAACAAATGTTTAAAAGTTCATCTGTGTTGGTGGTTACATGTTTACAGTTAAAACTTTTGATCCAACACAAAAAGTTCTCTCACCTAGAGCTTTCGACCAGTCACTCCGGTCTTCCTATACCGGATACCTTTGACCCATTGTTGATGTCACACTTCAAAGAAAGCATGTGACAAGCCTCACTGGGTCAGTCTACTGAGGAAGGCCAGAGTGACTGGTCGAAAGCTCTAGGTGAGAGAACTTTTTTGTGTTGATCTAAAGTTTTAACTCTTGAAATGTACATTTCCTATGCAGAAAACCATGCTGACAGCCGTGCACTATCCAGTCTTCCCTAAAACTGAGCAGCAAGTCGTCAACGTCTCAGGAGCAGGAGATTGGTAAGACCCTCCCGAACCCAGAACCGTGCCTGTCTAGTTCTGCTGTACCCAGAACCATGCCTGTCTAGTTCTATGCCTGAATGGGTTAGGGTTAGGCTCAGGCACGAATCTGGATAGTCTCTGTGTATCCCAAGAATGTAGATTTGCCCGAGGCACATGCAGTTCTGGATATGCATGGACTATCCAGAACTGTGCTTGATCATGATTCTGGATAAAACATGGTTCAGGATACAACAGACCACCAACAAACATACTGCACATCTGTCAGTTACTGCTCCTGTTGCTATGACAACTGTATCAAAGATAAATGTTAGGTTTTACAGATACCACCATCCCTGTAAAAAGTCACACACAAATCTAGCAGCTACTTACACATCATACCAACCCTTAGCATGCACAGAACTGGAATCTATCTAGGGTTTATTTTCTATACAACATTTTAGCTAATCTTGAAGAAGTGTTGGTAGAAGTCATTATAAAGTAGTTAAACTGTAATTACCAACACAAGGGATTGGACTTACTTTTCAACTGTACATGTATGGATTGCTTGTTCCTTGACAATGACAGGAGCTGTACAGTCAAAAATTTGGGTAAGTCCAATCCCTTCTGTTGGAAAAAGACAGTTTAAACTGCTTCAAACATTTTAAGTAACATCTGTGTCCATAATATCACCAGGGTCCATAATATCGCCACCTTGAGAAATAGTGTGCTTGAAGATATTTTTACTGCAACATACTTTTGGTATGCAGTCCTTCACACATGAAATGTACATACCTAGGGTATGTTGCAGTAAAAATATCTTTAAGCACACTGTTTCTCAAGGTGGCGATATTATGGACTATGGTGATATTATGGACACGGATGTTACTTGTTCCTTGACAAAGACAGGAGTTGTACAGTCAAAAAGTCCAATCCCTTGTGTTGGCAAAAACTGCTTCGAACATTTTAACTACCTGGTTGTAACTGTATAATGTATTTTTTTGTTCCTCAGCTTCTCTGCAGGTATGATGCACGGAATGCTGCAGGGTCTTCCCCCGGACGTCTGCGTAAAGCAGGGACTTCTGGCCGCCTACAACTCCACCCAGACGCACAGCGCCGTGCCTGCCAGCCTCGACTGTGCAGACTTCTCAGAAGAGAACATCAAGAAGCTGCACTGGCCGACCTACTCCATACCTATCTAGTTCATACATATAGCTGATAGTGGTACAAACTTTGCATCAGTGCAGGTATAGACCTCTAGTAGTTTACAATGAGATAATCTTCTTGAGGGGATTCTGCTCCAGACAGGCACGCAGAACCCACAGCAGGATTTCATGTTCAGGTCTCTAGATCTACAGATCTCCACTTTGCTGCTTAGTCCTACTTGGGTGCCTTCTTGATTCCAATTACAAGCTCAGTAACAAATTCTGTGAACAAGCTGCAATTGTACAGATAGAGCTGTTGTGTAGTTCAGACTGCCAGCTATCAACCAGTCCGTAAATCTCTTCTCTTGCAGACCAATGGATGATGTTCTTAGATATGACAAGCTTTTACCACACTATATGCCACATGTACATGTAACATAACCTGCGTATGTTGATCCATTAACATTTGATAGGCTAGTGTTGTAATATCTGTACCGTATGTTTACCTCATATTTTATTGTTTTTGTTCTCAGTTTTGTATCTTGCCAATTATTCAGATGTAAAAAATTCATTGTTGTGAGAGTTTTCTAATGCAAAAGATAAATTGTTAATAAGTCATTGTGTAAATGATTTCAGCATTATTGTGTAGAATAATTATCTCTAAGTATCATCTTGTAATGTAATGTTATTGTTACAGGTACTGTCAATTGTTTGTCAATAATGCTTTGATTTGATTTGATGTGATTTGGATTGCCACAATACAATACAAATTTCTCTGATACTGCATTGAACTTCTTTTGTCTGCAATTATTGTTGGCTGCTTTAACGAATTAACTACACAACCCAACCATGGGAGCCAGGAAAATGATTACTAGCAAGTTACATAACCCGTTTGCTTACAAACCCACTGCTGTAGTACAATCCCGTTCCATCCAAGCAATGGGGGCCCGCAAGCCCTTTTCCGTAGAGCATAATCGGCCGTTTTAATTCTAAGTAGAGGGTAGACGGACTGCTCTAATATTTTTGCGTAGAGCGTATTCGGCGTTTTAATTCTACATAATGCGTTGTAGCCACTTAGAATTTATTGTAAAGGGTAATCGAGAGGTTTCCGAATTCAGCGTAGAGCGTTGTCGGGACCCCCCCTTGCTACCCTTGCAGGCCCTCAGCAATGACATTATCTTTCATTATCCTTGATCCAAGTCTACAAAAGCAAATAATTTGTTTTGCTGTCATTCTTTAGACAGACATCTGGCCTGCCTCTACCATAGTCAATATCAGCCTCATATATATCAGCCTGACTTATGTAACTTTAATTCTTATTTTCAAGTAACTTCAAAAGTGCATTGTGTAACATGTAGCAATGAGATTCGATGATGGGTAATCTGAAGTCCAATACAGGGAGAATTTTCAGTTATCTCTGTTGCTGCTTTCTTTAGATTTGAATCAATGCTAAACATTTGAAGAAGCCAAGGCCTTTCTCAACTGACTACGGTGCAATGTTCAATGAGGATAGGATTCAAATTTCCCGCCATCCGAAACTCATTTCAATATCAAGTCACGTGACGCATACTAATTACCCCCTGCAAAGCAAGAAGGCGCCATTGCTGTTCAGCCATTTTTCCAACATGGCGTCTGTTGTCGGCTCAGAAGTCGAAATTCAGGAGGTAGAGGTGGAGACCATGCCCGTGGTCGAAACCATCGAGACGACAGTGGAAACGCAGCCCATGATAGCGTTACAGCCGCTGCCCGAGCCCGGTCGCGAGGAGGTTATCCTACAAACGCACGAGGAAATCGTGGGAGACGAAGAAGAGATCCACAATGACTCCGAGGAAATCGACCATATCCCTGTGCCCATGCCGGTGGAGATCGAGGAACACATGAACGTGAGCGCGGCCGGCAAGCGAGGGAGGCGGGCCACGAAGAAGGGCAAGCGGGGAGCGGCGTTCGGGGACCTGGGAGACGCCGAGAGGTCGCGGAAATGGGAACAAAAGCAGGTCCAAATAAAGACACTGGAAGGCGAGTTCTCCGTGACGATGTGGGCTTCTGGTAAGCGGATATCCTTATCGCTGTGGCGAGCGTTTGTTATGTGAAGGCAGGAGTTAGGAAGGATGATGTCTTGTGTTTTGGGGTAGTGGTGGGTTGTATTTTGTCGTCTGTTTGTTGCGATGAGACCGTGATTGCGATGCTGCCGTGAGATCCAGCCGGATATCGGCGTTTTTCTGTCTTGTTAGGGAAGGACTGTGCACGCGGCGTGACGTCAGAGGTCTGTTTAATCAAAAGCACTTATGCAGTGAGAACAGAAAATATCAGGAGATACTGCTTTGAACTGTATCTGTAGGAGGTGTTTTGGGAGAGCATTTTCCATGGGCGCCGCCATCATGAAACAACATGGCGGTTCCAAAATGGCCGCCGCTGCAAAAATGGTCCAACAAATCGTTTCGAATCCAAAAATTCTTGCAAGGGCGGCGCAAATTTCTGTCATACATTCACTTAGTAACCGCCCGGTGTTCCTTTGGATGGGAGAAGTTGAATGTAGAGCGTTTTCTGACCGAAATTTGGTCCTCCACGGTGGCCATTTTGTGTGGGTGGTGTTGGGTAAAAATATGGCGGAACATCATGGCGGAGTTGGGCAGTTTTGGCCGGGAGAAAATCCCGATTTTCGCAGATTTCAGTCAACCAGCGCTTACTTCATTCCCCGTGATATGCTAACCGTGTTACTTAGCGCATTGTGCATCTGATATGTTGTTGCCACCGATGCAAGTTCGAATTTAGCCACGAAAAAGTGAGATTTGTGAAGGTAGGTGGCTAGCTGGACATAATCCAAGATGGCCTCCTTTGTGTGCACACAGAGGATAGCAACAAAAAGCTGCCCGAGCCCGAACCGGAACCTCCGGCGCCGCAGCCGCAGCCCATCCCCGACTTCAGCGAGTTCATGACCGGCAAGAAAATTCCGTCGGGCGGCATTCCGGGCATCGACTTGTCGGACCCCAAGCAACTTGCGGAGTTTGCCAAGTGAGTAAAGTTGTCTAAGTCTACCCCAAAATTTGTCTGTCTGTATAACTGACAAAGCGATCGCTTTTGTATTGCCCGTAAGGTGGGAACGTTTTGTTCTACCACTGAACAAACTGTACTTTCCAGCTGACAGCAACTGCAGCACAATTACAAACTGAATGTGGACGTGAACCTTTATAGCTTAGTTGCACATATAAATTATGACATAATAGTTATGGATATGAATAATTTATAGATCAAAGTAAATTGTTGGCTTGCTGAAAAGAAGTGTATGACATATGGATACACGTTTGGGGGAAGAGCAAAATTAATGTTTATGGCCAAGGCAATGTTGTACACACTTATTTTCTGTATAATAAATATGCAATTAGAAGTTATCATGTCTGCAATATGTTCAATTGAGTATGGCATAGGATAGCCTATTAGGGTACGTTTAGACAATAGTTACTGCATGTATGAGCATTTCTTAATGGCTCCTTTGAAATGTAGCAGAATTTGTTAAGGGACAACCGAAATGGCAACTGTCTTGTTTTTGTCTTCAGAATCCGCATGAAACCAAAGAAGAACAAGGAAGATGATTCCAAGACAATTGCATGTCCACACAAGGTAAGGGCTGTGTGTTGGGTGTGTAGCTTTAAAGGGGGGGTGGGCTGATATGATATATGATACTAACTGTCATATTTCAGAGTGTGCCAGTTAAAGGGATAGACTGTGTCATTGTTATTTTTGCAAATACGTAATCATATCAAGGTAACACCGTAATGCTGCTTGCGTATTTTGAAGTTTCTTAGAATTTGTTTTTGCTTGAGGGCATGTGCAAATCATCAAGGCAAATCATCCGTCACCCACTTTTTCATTTTTTTTGCTGTCTGTGATCTGACTTCTGCAGCACACACTTGTTTGTTACATGTTGAAACTAACACGCTGAAACCCTGTAGGGCTGCACGAAGATGTTCTGAGACAACTCTGGCAAATGGTCATGGTTATTCTAGCACCTAGGATAGATCTGACTTTTGCAGCACACACTCGTTTGAACAATAAACAGCCATGCCTTCAAATATCAGAGTTATCACCAAGAATTGAGGTATTCAAAAACTCATATTTCCCCAGAACTATCGTAGACTGGAACTCGTTGCCACCAAGCACAGTTGGGGCATCATCACTAGAAAGCTTTAAACAACTCCTGCAATCAAATGTGCAAAGATTGAGTGTAACAAGTCGTTCGGTGTGATATAGCTAGCTGCCGCCGTGCTGCGTGCCTGCGAAGCTGGTGTGTTGCGCCGAAGGGCGGTTATACCGGCTGCACTGATACAGATACATGTTGAAACTAACATGATTACACGCTAAAACCCTGTAGGGCTGCACAAAGATGTTCCGAGACAACTCTGCGATGCGGAAGCACCTGCACACACACGGGCCGCGGGTCCACGTCTGCGCCGAATGTGGAAAGGCGTTCGTAGAAAGCTCCAAGTTGAAAAGGCACCAGCTGGTCCACACAGGGGAGAAGCCTTTCCAGGTAATGTCCTGTTTGTTAACGTTTTGTTAGGTGAAGAAAATGTAAATCCTTTTTTTTCTTTATTCTTTGCTACACTGTGCAGGGTTGCCCAACCCTGCTGTGTTAGGCAATGTCATGTTATTTATCTGAGAATGGAATTGTTGACATGTCCATTGTGTAATGTTACTGTAATTCACAAGTCTGTAATTCAAGTAAAATGTTGTGGTCTGAGGTAAGCAAATATGTTCAAGGAGCTTAATCTTCACAACCACAGTGATGGATTTTTGATAAGGGTTATGATAAGTTCATGGTACAAAAGTGACTGTAAAAAAGGAAATTAAAAACAGGAAAAAGTCAGTAAATTGTTTGTTTTCATCCTGCAGTGTACGTTTGAGGGTTGCGGGAAGCGGTTTTCGCTGGACTTCAACCTGCGCACCCACGTGCGTATCCACACGGGCGACCGGCCCTACGTCTGCCCCTTCGACGGCTGCAACAAGAAGTTTGCCCAGTCCACCAACCTGAAGTCCCACATCCTCACCCACGCCAAGGCCAAGGCCCAGCAACAACAGCAGCAGGCTTTAACCAGCCCCATTCTCACCATGCCCACATCTACCATGACCCTACAGATGTAACCCTGCACATTAGCAACACTAAACTACAGATGTAGTTCGGTACTTTAGCAACACTTCTGGCAACACTAAACCTGACTCCAGGCCCTCACCATGCCCACATCTACTATGACCCTACAGATATTTCCCTGCACTTTGCAAGTATCTCGATGCTAAACCATGCTCCCATCAGCATGTTGGCAGAACATACTGCACCTGCTCGAAACCCGTAATGTACTGTGCATAGCACTTCGGCAGAACGTCTCATATAAGGTCGTATTTGCACAAATATAAGGTTACCATCCCGTTTGTGTTTTCTAAATGTTGTTAAGTCGGGAAAGATATTGTCTGCAACAGGCAAAATTCTGATGCAACGTTGACCAAAAATCGTGAAAAATCCGGGGTTCATGCAGGCACAGTGCTTTCTGCCGACATGCTACTCCCATCTAGCTGCAGACTTTGTAAAGACAATTTCAAATTATACATATTATATGACATGGACTGTTTACTCAGATGTTATAGTATAAAGGCCCTGCGTAGCATTATTAATTATATCTGCATTGCACGTATACCATGATTTGTTAATCGTACATAGAAAAATTGCAGGTTGCGCAGAATACTTTGTTCCAAACTGTAGCCTGCTTCAGTGCTTGTTTCTCAGGTAAAAAAAAAACTAACTTGAACCAGCAGCGACCGGTGGAAAATCTAACTTGTAGATTATTTTAGATTGGTTTTATCTGTGGTTGCTTCTGGTAGCGAGACAGATCCAAATGTATCCAGGAAGAACCTCTGAAAGGGTCACGTTTCCATAGCTGCAACTTCTGTGTGGCATGTAATGCACACACTCGTGTATGTCAGGTCAGGCTGCCATCTATATCACAACTTTGGTGACACACATGCTGTTACAGTAATAGTTTTGTTTGTTTGTGTTATGAGAATCATCCTGTCATTTCACATTTGTACTGCAGATGTGTACTGGTGTACTAGTATTACTAGTAAGAGGTGCTGGTGTCCTGTGTTGAAGGCAGGTTTCTGACTTCTCCAGTTGTGAGTTTTCATCTTTTCATCTGAACACAACATGACTTGGGAGGAGGATAGTCTGATTGTTTCAAACCTTACATGAAATTCTTTCAGCTGTGATTTTGATTGATCAAATCTATATTGCAGGTCATCTCTAGATGCTTTTGGGAGTGGTGGATAGTCATTATGTAATTATAGCGGAAAAGAAACAATGAATTATAGAAATGAGCAGGGCATTAACTAAGTGTGGCAAAGTTGAATTTGTTACAACTGAAACATGTTTGTCACATACGCTTTCATATGTTGATACACAGAGTTTATGTAAAATGGTATCTGTTGATACACTAGCTGTGTGCTCACCCTTTGGAATTTCAAGTAATATAAAGCTGTGAGTCTGAAAACCAGAAAAATGTCACCCTTCCCACTATCAAACCAACAGTTAATTGATATTCCAAACTGTAAGATATTACAGGATCTTTTGTGATTTTCATATGTGTATGTCAGTACTGCAACTTTGGGGACATGAGACAATGCAAGTGCCTCTTGTTATGATAGAGAAAAGCTAGCAGACTCCCCGTGCATGCATAGCGATACGTCAATAGTGCTGATGATATCAAAGGGTTTGGAGAAATTATTACATAGTTTTTGTCATGGTTATTATCAGTATAGATGTTTACGTATTTCACTAGAGGAGGTTTAAGACAGACTTGAACCTGCTTGACCAGAGTAATGATGATCATGAAAACTTGCTGTTTGTTCTGTCTATACACACATGGGTCTGGCTGTATATGAAAGCTTCCTAGTGTAGCCCTGCCCTACAGGGGTGTCTGCCACATAGCCACCGAGTACTTAGTTGTCTGGCGTCAGTTGATTCTTGGGCATTTGCAAGACAAAGTGTATATATATCCGTGCAGAAGTGTTGACCCAAACCTTGTACATGATTCTTGGCTTCGTGTGAATTTTCACTAACTGTGAGTTTTCTCGTTGGTAAGTTCGCCTTGTTAATCGCCGTGGGTTGGCTGTATGTGGTAAAAAATGGTGTCTGTATTATTGTGTTTAATTTGCTTGATTTCTGTAAGAGCTTCTAGTCTGCTGCAGATTTTAATTTCTTGTATTTATTCCCCCTAATTAGAACCAGATGAGTTCGGAGTACTTTACAGTATAATGCAGGCTTATTACGATATGTTATCTAGAGTTCACAGGAGACATTTTGTATGAGTGGTGCCGTCATCACATGTAATGTATATAAAAGAATTGTTGTTGGAATAGGCCAAATAAAAAGGCATGTGACTTGATCAGTGGGAACATGGACTGAAACAGATCTAAATGTTAGTTTATGCCATGTTCGAGGAACTGAAGAGGGAATAAATTCCAAGTGGACTGTACTTTTGTGTAAGCTGTCTGTTTTCATGTTTCTGACTCTGTGTAGCTGGTAAGATACGAGTATTGAATGCTTCTATGTGTGTTTTTTGTCGAACCAACTCTGAATTACTGGAGGTGATTGAACTGAATGTGATCTTGTGGCTGAGGTTTTGACTCAGAATCTGAAGATTCTGGGCTCGAATTCCTAACAGGCCCATTGTTGTGTCCTTAGGAAAGGCACTTAACACTACCTCCTCACTCGACTCATGAACATAAGCACCTACTTATAAAGAAGTCCAAGTATTTACATAATGTATACCCAAGTTGTAGGTCAGTAGATGTAATATCCAGTACAAAATACTTTCCTGGTAGTGCCATGCAAGGTGACAGGTCCTTAAATATAGTCTCCACCAGACTCCTTTGCAGGCTGAATGAACAGTAGAAATCGGCCTAAAAAGAATGTAGCTGGCCAGGGGAGTTGGCCAGCCATAGAGGGTCCGCTTTGGCCTGCAAACTCTCCTGGCCAGCTACAATCTTTTTACGCTGATTTCTACTATTCATTCAGCCTGTAAAGGAGTCTGGTGGAGACTACCTTAAATATTTTACACTACTTCCAGGCCTAGGAATGAGCAATGATGTCAAAATCAAGTGCTGGTAAGTCTGGCATTTGATCTCCTACATGGCACAGAAAAATAGGACAGCAAATAAAAAAGAGAAGCCTGTTTGTACTGTTAGTATTGTTTTAATCGGGACCTTATTATTGCTATAACAGTATTTATAATACATGTACTACATAATGAAAGCAGGAAATACTTATTTGTCTTAATTGACAAATCTTAACTGCTTTCTAATTTATATTCTACACTTTTCTGGATGTTCATCATCACATCAGGAATTTTTAACTTCTATGGCTTTTAGCTTCATTTTCAATAACAAATTTTGGCACAAATCCATTTTTTACATGTACAATCATGTATGAAAACACAAGATTTTTTTTCTCTCTTTCAAATTGGGTTATCATTTTTTCTTGTACAGCTGTCAAATTCTAAGGAATATTGTTAAGCTACACATGTTGCCCCTTTAGTCTCAGTTTTATCAATGGTAACTGGCATGTAACAATACTTGTATGTCACATGAAAAATGCCACAAATGACATAACACTATAATAATAGTATATTCATTACAAAAGAAAGTGCTTAAATATACATGTTCATCTATAATTATTTCAATTGAGTAAAGTTTGTTAAGATACAGTGGTCATGGCTAGTAAGATAAAATTAATGCATCAACTAAGAAACTCAAGTTACAATGATTATATTGCCATATATATAAATAACATAATTATATAGTTGTCACTGCAGAAAGCAGCCCCTTCACAGTATGTCCCTACATGTAGTTTATGCCCCTATCCAAGTTAGTGGTGTGCGTAATTCTGCGGATCTGGAAGATTTTAGTGTGTGAATCTGAATCAAAGCTTTGTATCATCAGACAAGTGTTAACAGTTAAGGCCACGCCAATTTAATTTGTTGCTTCTCGGATGGCCCTGTCCATTTTCTTCCAATTTGCAAAAAAATAAAAAATTGGGGGGGTTCTAAATTAACTGCAAAATGCTCAATGAAAGACATATTTTGTCCCCAACAGTTGAAAAAAGTCCTTTTCTTCCTAGTTCTTAAGTTTTTCAATATAACAATGCAATTTTGTTCAATCAAAAGTTCAAAATCTACCGTTTTAATTATAAACCAGCCTGGTATGTTCACTTCATGGCTCATATTGTAACATTTCTGGCTATCATGGGGTGCCTTGGGCTGTTTTTTTTTTGTTTTTGCCCTGTCGCTCCTGATTTTTTGTGAAAAAATCCGAGAAACAAATTAAATTGGTGTGGCCTAAAGTGTAAACCTGTACATAATTCTGTGTAAGTCGATTTCAGCGTGTAAAACTGAATCAAAGCTTCGTCTCCTCAGACTCCGCCTTCTCCTCCTCTCCCTCCCCTTCTTCATCCTCCTCGATCACGCTCACTTTCCTCCGAGATTTCTTCCGCAGTTTCTTAAGAATGCTGACGCTGCTGCCGAGTCTCGGCCGGAAGACCTGAATGAAAGAACGGTTTATTTGATCATTTTGAACATTGAAAATTTCTCTGCAAAATGCAGATGGGTACTTCTAACATTGTAAGTGAAACTGAGAACAATAAACGAACCTTATCTCCGTCGGTAGAGTGTTGTCAGTTCCCATGGTGACAGACGTCTGGTTCAGGTCATTGACCTTATTGGTTTGGAGAAGAAGAAGAAGAAACAGAGCAAAAACAGTACATTTTCCTTCTGCGAAGGTATACATGATAAACCAACCTGGTCTCCATCCGTGGAGAGTTGTCAGTTCCCATGGTGACAGACGTCTGGTTCAGGTCATTGACCTTATTGGTTTGGAGAAGAAGAAGAAGAAACAGAGCAAAAACAGTACATTTTCCCTCTGCGAAGGTAAACATGATAAACCAACCTCGTCTCCGTCGGTGGAGAGTTGTCGGAACAGTTTGTTCTCGTTGCGCCGGTACTCGTCGATCAGGTCATCCACGTGACCCTCATCATCATCGTCGTCAGGGGCAACCGGGACGACGCCCGGCGACGTGGGGGCGGCCGCTGGGTCCTGCGACGCCGGCGGCAGCTTGGCCAGCTGACTCAGCTCCTGCTGCACGCTTGACAGGCTACACGTCACCTCTCGCAGCCTGGGTCAAAAAGGATCAGTCAAATAGTCAAGCTCCATGCCCGTAGCCAGGATTTTGAATGAGGGGGTTCTTTCCACTGCTTGAGGGACCAGGGTGCGAGGTTCCTAGGGGATACCCCCGGAAAATTTTGAAAAATGAACCTTCTGAAATGGCATTTCCTGCGTTTTTGAGAGGATTTCAGAGAAAAAAAATCAGAGATAACTTTTTATTCAATTGCAATGACAAAGTAGGCAGTTTTTATATACGATTCCAGACCCGCTGGTGATACGAATCAGTGAGAAATATTGGACCCTTAGATAAAAAGTGGACCAAACAGTGGACCTTTTAGCCTTGTGGGGGGGGGGTTCTTCCGAACCTCAGTCTGGGTCAATTACAATATCCGTCAAATATAGTCGAGCTCTCAGCCTTGGTCATACACCTCACCGGCCCCATAGCAGTATGGTCATACAGTATCAGTCATAAAGGATCAGAAAGATACTTTCAACAAATTCATACGTAACAGAACCAACCAAGGTTATCTATTTTTCTTGTGAGTTTGACAGATACTGTTGTCAATATTTTGTCACCTGTAGGTTTTAATCTTTTGTTACGGTACCTCTAATCAACATCGTACTAGTACCTCGCTTCCAGAGTCGCTCTTGTTTCCTCCATTATCTGGTGACATGAACAGGACTTTTCCTCCTCAAACTCTTTGCTCACATCGAAAAGCTGCAACAAATTTTGATGAACCTTGATTACTATGGACAGCCTTACAACCCAAAATTTGCACACGTACATACACATGATTACATGATAAATGTGCTACAATGGCTGTAAGTAGGCAAGATTTGGGAGTGTTCTAAGGATCCATCAGTACGGAACAGTCATTTCCGCCACAGTCATGACTACATCAAAATTAAGTCTTCCCTTGTGCTTGCAAACACTGTCCTGCTAGGAGTCTGCAGAGGAGGCTACTGATATATCACAAGTAGGTACAGGGTGTATGATTTACCTCCCTCAGCTGATGGGGAATTATTCTGGCAATCAGGCTCATCTTCTTTCTGGACCGTTTCTTTTCGTCGTAATGCAGGACCTGGAAGCGCCGGAGGAAGAGAGTGGTGCCCCACTCCTTGTGTAACATGTACTCCGCCTAGGGGGCAACAAAAGCAGACACACGTCAGTCCTGCCTTTTTATTCTATACCTAAACGTGTTATGGTTAGGATCAAGCTCGGTTCTGGATATAAGTCTCCTTGACTCCATGTATCCAAGAACGTAGATTTGCCCCAGTCACAGTTCTGGATATGCATGGACTATCCAGAATCGTGCCAGGGGCAAATCTAGATTCTGGATACGCCTGGACTATCCAGAACCTTGCCTGAGCATAAGCTCTGCATGGTTCTGGATACAACATTTGCCTGTCCATGTGATGATGAAGGAAATACAGTCATGCGTAGATACTTAGTTAGGAGCTCACCTGTATCTGGAGATGCCCCAGTCTTGCCGCCTCCCGGATGGCTTTGATGTCACCGACTGCCAGACCAACCTGGTGAAGGGTTGGGAAAACATCATGGGCATGAAATGTGCTGTTCTAAGAAACTATCCATTCCACGAAACTAAATAGATACATTCTGGGAAACTATTTATTCTGGGAAACTATATAATATTCATTCTAGGAAACTACTCATTCAAGAAAATTATTCATTCTAGAAAACTATTCAATCTGGGAAACTAATTCATTCTAGGAAACTATTCCTTCTGGGAAACTATTCATTTTAGGAAATTATTCATTCTAGAAATACTATTTATTCTACTAGTTCTATGAAACTATTCATTCTAGAATATTAGTCATTGTAGGACACTATTGATGTACTTATTTTGTCATCACGACCAAATAGAAACGGGTTCTGTGTGGTGTGATGCTGAAAGTGCCGACTTGTACCGTGAAATTCAGTGAAATTCGTGAAATTCAGATTGCAACTGCGTAACGTACAACACAGCAAGGAAACATTGAAATTGACCAACCAGCAAGTTTACGATGATGATGCACATGACAACAATGAAGATGAGGAGGAGGGCGAGAGTGAAGGAGTTTCTGGTGTTCACGCCGAGCCGGAAGTTACTGTTGATGTCGAGTTCTCCCATCATCATGGACAGCAGCGTGTAGAAGGTTCTCGGGAAGTCGTCAAACGCATCCCCCTACAGGACGGGATATATTCTAGCATTACTGTAGTCGCAAGATAGTCTGTTTCATGTCATACTCATGACTATGGGTAACTCTTATATTCTCAGTGTCTGACCAAGATAAGACCAAACTGAACTGGATTAAGCCCAGGGAAAGTCGTCAAACGCATCTCCCAACAGGACGGCATGGATTCGCACATTAGGTCACACCATTATCATGAAAGTTCATCTGTGTTGGTTAATCACAGTAAAATGTTGAACTTTATTCCAACACAAGGATTACATACAGAATTTTCAACAACCACTTCCAAACGTTAACTCGTTAGAGTTACGGTTACAGACACGTGACCTTGTTCACACAAATTAGGCCACACCAATTTGATTTGTTTGTCAGATTTTTTCCAGAAAAATGAATTGTTACACCCAATCTTTTAACATTTGATTGCAGGAGATGTTTAAAGCTTTCTAATGATAATGCCCCAACTGTGCTTTATGGCACAGTTCTCGGAAAATACAAGACTTGAACACCTCAATCGTTGGTTGATAAATCTGATACATTAAAGCATGACCGTTTCTTGTTTTTTTCTGTGCTGGTATTAGGTACTTGTAGAATAATCTTACCAGTGATGTGTTTGCGATGGTGACTTACCAGTGATGTGTTTGCAATGGTGACTTACCAGTGATGTGTTTGCGATGGTGACTTACCAGTGATGTGTTTGCGATGGTGACTTACCAGTGATGTGTTTGCGATGGTGACTTACCAGTGACGTGTTTGCGATGGTGACGAGGTAGAAGAAGGAGAAGCAGAAGGCAAAGAGGTAGAAGATGAAGACGATGACGACTCGGATCATCGTGATGAAGATGCTGCCGATCATGATGATGTACAGACCAAACACGTAGATCCTGGCAGGGAAAAGGTTTATATCAGCTTAAACTCAACTTGGACTGCTTCGTTTACAGTACCGTAAATAATTTCATCAGGTTGGTAAACAACTGAATAGCAAAGTTCTTTATATTACAACCATTTATTTTTCACTAGCCGACATTTCGATGACCGTCTGTCATCTTCAGTCAGAATTGCCCTGTTGAAGATGACAGACGGTCATCGAAACGTCGGCTAGTGAAAATAAATCAGATCTTTTAGTAGCTGAAAGTTTCAAATTAGCCAAGCTGTATCCATTTGCCAGGCAGTTACCCTTCGCTGGCGTAAAAAAATACCAGTATGGAAAACAGCACAGTAAAAATGCCTTAAAAACACATAAAAAATAAACTGAAGCCTCAGCAAGTCAACTCTGGATTGTGAAGTCATCTCTTGATAAATAAATTAAGCTGCATCTCAATTATCACATTTAAGCACGCAAGGATAGGGAAATGAAATGTCATTAGTCTGATCATTCTTTAAACTTTTGAATCATCTTCAAGTTTATCTGGGCCTTTTTCTGTATTGGTTTAGCCAGTATAACCGCCTTCGGCATAACAAACCAGCATCGCAGGCACATGGCGTGACAGCAGCTGGCTACATTGCACTGAACGGCTTGTTACACTCAATCTTTCCGATTTTTCGAGTAAATTATGGCCAGAAACACTCAAATCTCACCTCCTGAGCACGAGAACAAAGATGATCCAGGCCAGGAACACCGCAATGGTGGCGGCATAGGTCTTCGCACACGGGTACATGGACACCGGAAGGGCGTACAGGAGAGCAGCCAGGCACATGATGAAGTCCAGCAGGTTGCTGACAGTCAGGAAATCCAAGCCCTGTAATATCAAAACAACTTCAACCATTTGGGCTGGAAAGTGATCTCGATCCAGTTTTAGCTCACTGTCATGACAAAGAAGACAGATGATATGTAAAATATTTACAGGTTCGTTGTAGCTCTTTTCAACAAGCACAATGTGCCGTCCTAAGGACTCAGACCCTTTAGTAGCGTGCATGTCGGGAGAGCGACAACAGCCAAATCCCAGCCTCTTGGTCCAGAGGCAGGGTCACTAGCCACTGGACTACACATGCTACTACGGATTGGGAAGGCACTGTCAAAATACAAAAACCAACAAATTGAATTGGTGTGACCCGAAGTTATTGGTCAAAAGATCACCATGTGATTTTCCTCGACTCACCTGTCTGACGAGGTTGTACAAGTCCTTTATGAGCCCGAGGGCTGCGAACACCAACACCAGGTACGAGAGCACACACAGCTCCTGTAGGGCACAAAATGTGAAGTAGGTAAATGTTTCCTCATGTTACAATGTATATATATAGTACAACATACACTCTGTATCTCTCAAGACGTAAAATCATTCTTTACTCACAAATAAAAGAAAGGAACATTTATATCCCAGGTCACGTCTAATCTCCAAGCAGATCTTTTGGTGGGGGTAAGACAGTATCAAATTGGCCAGTCTGTATAATCCATTTCCCCACCCAAGATCTGCCTCCAGTCGAAACGTCAAAGGCTATTAACACCTAGTTGTTGCCTGATCAAAATATTCTTGCCAAGTAGTTTATTGCCCTGACCACCAGGCAAGGCTCTTGCCCTCCTAGTGGGCCAGCTGGTTGAGCATTACTCTCTATGGGTCCCCTCACCAACTGTTATTTTTTTCAGTTTAACTAAAGGAAAGAAGGTCCAACATATGTTTTGTGATATCTGCAGTTTTGAACCACAATGAGCCCAGTTATATTTTATTGACATTTCTACAGGTATGTTTCAGCCAGCATATTTTAGTACCAGCATACAGTATTATCTCGACAGGGTTAGGCGAGAACTCCCACTGAGATGTGCGCGGGTGACTGCATTTGTCCCAGATTCAGGCCATAAACCGCTTGTAAAAATCTTAGCACAACAAATTTTTGATAGCTGTTAATAGGGGCACAAGGAGGGGCAGCAACACCATTTTTGAAAAGAAGTGCTCCTCCCTGTTCGAGTGCAGGCAGATCTTGGGTGGGGAAATGGATACAGACTGGCCAATTTGATACTGTCTTACCCCCACCAAAATATCTGCTTGGAGATTAGGTCACGTCGGCCATAACTGACTGAACATGCAGGGAGATATTAGACATATAACATTATACAATACATCGGGACATACAATATTGCACAGTTTCCTGAAATATTGCATAGTTTTTATTAAAATTATCACAAGAATTTTTTAGACTTTGGCTTAAAAGTTACCACTTCTATCTAGTGCGACTTAACCACCTTATAATTTCAGGGAGTAGGCCGGTATTAATTATAAGTACAATGTAGTTACAGTAAGGTATCTGAGTCCCAATTCAGCTCGTGACGTGCATTCCATACAGCATATATAGGTATTCATGTAATTATACGCACCCTAGGAAACATACATTTCAATGCCAAAGGTCCCAGAGATGGAGAAAAATTGTGTCCCAAAATACATGTACTAACAGCATCAATTCCGACATTTGAAGTTCAATGTTTCAAAAGAGGCAAGCACAAAATTATTCCATGAAACTTTTGGAAGCCCGTGTGATAACCGTTTGAACCCCATGTGATACGGGTAGTTATCGCACGAGCCAGAACACCCATATCAAACGTTATCATGGCCCACATATGACATAACATGACGTACCTGTATGCTGCGTGAGAGATGGAATGGGGAAGCCAAAATAAATGTGAACTAGAAAGGTAACATTTGCAAAGCAAATGCATAATGTTTACCTTCGGATATGGTCTGCTCTGTTAAGTCTTACTCAAACACATTCACATACAGTACATGTATTACCTTACCTTACCTGGGCCCTGGGCCCCGTGTGGAGCATAGGCCACCAACGATTTTCCTCCATCCAGTTTGGTGTTTAGACTCCTTATACATACATGTATATGGAGTTGGAGTCTAAATGCCTACTATGAAATTGCAACATTATGTAACCCAACACCAGTCACTATGGTGACAGACGTCAACAAAAGAGGCCATTGGCCAGGTCAGAGGTTAGTGTTTGGAACAGGCGAAGAAGAAGAAATGGAGCAAAAACAATATGTTTTCCTTCGGTAAACATAAAAACCGTACCTGAGACAAGTCACAGATGAACATAGCGTTGTAACAGGTGGCAGTCTGTTCCCTGGTGCTGTTACGCCTCTGTGAAATCTCCGAGGCCTGCTTCATGACCAGCGTGGTCAGGCAGCCCAGGAACACCATGTACACCACTAACGTCGCCAGGAATATACGGAACCCAATCTTCTCCCTGTTGGTTAGACGTAGGGAAACTAACTGAGAAACAAAGTCGGTCATTGAGACAAAATAATTTGTTAATCCAGGAGCGGACTTGGCTTAATGGACAGATGACATGCCGGGGGAGTTGGTCCACGAAAGGAGTACAGTTTGCCGCTTGGAGTGACCCTGGCATGTTATCTGTCTTTTTGACCAAATACCAGCTGCCTCTGAAGCCTGGTAGAGGCTAACGTTACAAGTTGGATCAGCAGTTTACTCCTTCTTTGATGACAGAGTAGCTTTCTACCAAAACAGAGTAGCTTTCTACCAAAACAGAGTAGCTTTCTACCAAAACAGAGTAGCTTTCATGCAAATGGAACAGCCTGTTGAAGACAATACTAACAGCACTACTTGCAGTATATCCGGGCACAACCTCACGATGGGTGTAAACCATAGTTTTTTTTTTGTTTGTTTTTTTTTAACCGAATTTAACGTCATTTTTCCCCAACCAGGGGTTAGACGTGCTTGCACCAAGTACAAGTCTTTTTTGAAGCAGGATTTTTACAGCTGGATGCTCTTCCTAGTTAAGATAAATAAACCGTAGTTACGAGCAGGAACTCACCAGTAAACTTCCAGAAACTTCTCCACGATGGGTGTAAACCATAGTTAAGATAAATAAACCGTAGTTACGAGCAGGAACTCACCAGTAAACTTCCAGAAACTTCTCCACGATGGGATGCTGCAGGCACTTCCAGCGCCGATTCCTGATGATCGCCTGGGGGAGGGGCATTTATAAAGGAAACAAGATCTTACAAAGACAACATGTTGATCAGCATTAAAACTCCCATCTCAAAAATCAATCACAAGCTATGAGCTGCCGTGTCTATAAATTGCATGACATTGTGCACTAACCTTGAGGAAGGACAAACCCTCTCGTCTCTCGTACATGTAGCTGAAGTCATACGACATCACCTGTTCGGGCAAGAGTTTAAATTGTTAAAATATGTTTACTTAACTTAATGAAAAGTTACTAACGATGCTAACAGAATGTCTTGGGAAGCCTTTATAATGCCATATAACTAGTGTAACTATATGCTGGGTGGGACAAGAACACCGGTACAAATAGAAGTGAGAAAGCAGGCGGTCAGAAAGAAAAAGTGCAGACAGATTAATTAGCCAATCAATTTGTGCAGCTTTCAGAACCAGCAAGGTTGGAACCAGTGACGTTACCTTGTGGTCATTTCCGTCTTTATCATCTTCCTTTATGGTTTTCTCCACACCAAACCGATTCAGAAATTCCTGAAAGACAAATGTTCATGTAGTTTACTGAAGGCGTCAAATATTTATTACACCAAGAAGTCGTGAATCATCAATACAACCACTCATTTCAAAATAATTGTAAATGTAAAATAATTGTAAAATTTGGTAAATTTGTCCATCGTAAATGGACCTATTGTTGTTTGCTAAAGCCTGACTTGTCAGTCATGACACCAGCAGTGCAACCCGTGACCTGTCCATGACCCATGTGTCGGTATATTGTGCACAGAGCCACATGTAACGTTATCTACACATAGTTCTATGCCTGAATGGGTTAGGATCAGGCACAGTTCTGGATAGTCTTTGCAGATCCAAGAACGTAAACGTGCCCCAGGACCGGTTCTGGATATCCTAAGCATGGTTCTGGATAAAGCACTGTTCTGGATGAAACACGGTTCTGGATGAAACACGGTTCTGAATAAAGCACAGTTCTGGATAAAGCATGGTTCTGGATAAAGCACAGTTCTGGATAAAGTGTGGTTCTGGATAAAGCATGGTTCTGGATGAAGTACGGTTCTGGGTACAGCAGGTACTTACCACAGCCACGGTGGGCATCTCCACCACCAGATAGGGCAGCTGCGGTCTGTCGTCCAGTCGCAAGAGGTCACTCCACCTGTGCAGAACAAAAAGCAAACGGTTTCAGCGTGCGACTTGACCGACACCAGTGAAAACTGGGAGTTAACAGTGTACAAATACATTTTCGTACATCTTTACCTTCGCCAAGAAGGTTATGTTTTCGTTGGCGTTCGTGTGTCTGTGTGTGTGTGTGTGTGTGTGTGTCAACACGATAACTCAAGAAGGCTAAGATGGATTGTCTTTATATTTGGTAGGTGGGTAGGTCTTGATGAGACCTGGAACTGATTAGATTTGGGCACCCTGGCGGCTTGTTATGGTACTGCAGCTGAACTTCCGGTTTTGATATCTCGTGATCTGGACATGGTAGGGACACAAAATTTGGATGATAGGTAGCTCTTTGGGTGGGGAACAAGTGACATGGGTTTGGACCCCCTAGCGGCTTGTTCTGGAACTGCAGAAGTATTCGTTGAAAAATATTCGAAGGAGGATAACTCAAGAACCGATTGACGGATCATCATGATTTTTGGTATGTGGGTACCTTAAAGAATGCTTGACATATGAAAATGATAGTTATGGCGAGAGAGTGGGAGTGACATACCGCCCGTTCCTCCCCATGGCGAGAGAGTTGGAGTGACTTACCGCCCGTGCCTCCCCGTGGCGAGAGAGTGGGAGTGACATACCGCCCGTTCCTCCCCATGGCGAGAGAGTGGGAGTGACTTACCGCCCGTGCCTCCCCATGGTGAGAGAGTGGGAGTGACTTACCGCCCATGCCTGCCCATGGCGAGAGCGGCGTCCTCCGAGCCCTTGTTAATGGCGACGTCCAGCGCGTTTTCCCGGTGGAGGTTTTCCGTGATGATCGCGCCGTCCGACAGCAGCAGCGTCACGATCTCAGGGAGGTTCTCGTTCGCCGCCACATGGAGGGGCGTGTTCTGAAATGTTTTATAAATGTTTATTCGTCAAAACCTTTATCAAATTCACTAATACTAAGCCATTACTAAATTCACTGGAAATGGCAGTAGCAACTTTTGGAGGGAGGAAGCTTGCTGCCAAGGTGACCTATACAACAAACGTACGGGATGGTCTGAGGTTATCAAAACCTAGACAATTGCACCTGACGTGCATAAGTCAATAAATTCTTTTAAGAGGTCAACGTGGATAATACTCATCCCAAAAGGACAGTATTAACTTTGCTCCAAGCTTTTTAACAGTGAAAACGTCATATGGTGATATGGGCTTCCATTATGTTGAAGAATGACAATGGTGGTCCCTGTTGTATCCATAACCATGATGACGCACAGTCCACGTGTATCCAGAACCATGCCTGGGACAAATCTATGTTCTTGGATACGCGGAGACTATCCAAAAGCACACCTGATCCTAACCCTAACCCATTCATAAATTGAACTAGATAGGCACGGTTCTGGATATGATTAGAGTCCCTGAGCTCCCAGCTACTATAGCGGAGGCCATCAGCAGTAAGCCTCACCCCGTTATCGTCGTCCCAGTTGAGACAGTCGTAGTGAACGTCCAGCAGACAGTCCACCGTCTTCTGGTTCCCGCTCTTCACGGCGTAATGTAGCGGACTGATGCCCTCCACGGTCCTGAAACACAACATTGCAACATTGTAGCAGACTGGTACTCTCCATGGTCCTGAAACACAACATTGTAACATTGTAGCGGACTGATGCCTTCCACGGTCCTGAAACACAACATTGCAACATTGTAGCAGACTGGTACTCTCCATGGTCCTGAAACACAACATTGTAACATTGTAGCGGACTGATGCCCTCCACGGTCCTGAAACACAACATTGTAACAATGTAGCGGACTGGTACTCTCCATGGTCCTGAAACACAACATTGTAATAATGTAGCGGACTGGTACTCTCCATGGTCCTGAAACACAACATTGTAACATTGTAGCGGACTGATGCCCTCCACGGTCCTGAAACACAACATTGTAGCGGACTGATGTGTGATCCAGAGATACCTACTGTGTAATGGCGGCGTGGTTGTGATAAGATGAGGTACTGACTGTGTTATAGCGGCATATCTGTGTGTTGGGGGGGGGGTGCGCGCGCGCGTGTTTGATCCAGAGATACCTACTGTGTAATTGCGGCGTGGTTGTCGAGCAGGTAGCGCACGACCTCCGGATGTCCGTACTTGGAGGCGAGGTGCAGCGGCCGCAGTCCCCGGGAGTTGGCCGTGTTCACCAGCCGGACCTTGATGGAGTCGCCCGGTTTCCCCTCCCGCCCGCTCCCGCGCAGCAAAGTCTTCAGCACGTTCAGACGGCCGTGCCTGCGGAAACGGGGGAGGAACTACGTTAAACATGTAACTGTAGGGCCACATTGCCTTAACTTTATGCGGAAGACAGCCGCCTGCTAAATTTTGCCAGCCTGTTTCTTAAAAAAATCACCCCTGAGGAGACCCCACAGAACTCCAGATCAGAACTCATAATTCAGGTACGATGCAGACACATAATAATAATTCAAGTGGCTTGCCGAAAAGTACCTAGCGAATTGTGGGGAGTGGACAAAAGCCAAAAGGCTGACACTCAGGCTATATACTAGTTCTTGTGGCTTGCCGGCGCAGTACCTGGCTGCCTCATGCAGAGCGGTTTCCCCATGTTGTTTCTTACTGTTATAGAGGCGAGTATGTTACAAGCGTAAATGCATATGTATATGTTATGTTGTTAGAGGCGTGTAGTTATGTTGTTAAAGATTTCAGTACCTGGCTGCCTCGTGCAGCGCGGTTTCCCCGTTGTTGTTCCTGGAGTTGCGGTCGGCGCCGGCTGCTATCAACGACCGCACGTTCTGTGGGGTTCACACATATAAACATGAGTACTGCATCCGTGAATAGTTTCATCAGGTTGGTAAGACACTGAGTAAAGAGACTCTTTTTACACAACCAAGTCTTGTATTCAGCCGACGTTCCGGTGACTGTCTGCAATGTGAACCAGTCAGAATTGCCCTGAGGAAGGTGACAAACGGTCACTGAAATGTCTTTGACTTAATTCGGATCCACATTTAGAATACATATTCTTCCTGTTGTCCACGTCGGCTGAATAAAAGACTTGGTTGTGTTAAAAGAGTCTCTTTACTCATGAGTACTGCATTTGAAGTGTCAGGCTATCGTGGTAAGATTCACACTGTTCAAACGTTGTGCTAAAATCCCATGTTCATGTAGATAAAGAATCTCATACATGTATCTATGCTGGTAAAAGCAGACGTGTAAGGCCTATTTTCGGACTTTAAAAAAAGCTCAAACAAATGATCAAACAAAGCTACTTCCAAAGACTGGTTTTAGTGAGATGTAACCCTGTCTCAAATAATAACATCAGACTTCAAGGCAAGCAACAACCAGTGTCCTCCAACATTTGCAAACGCCGGCTCAGCTGGTTAGGACACGCTGTCAGACTCCCACCTGTCAGATTTGCCAACCAGGCCCTACAGTGGTGTCCAGAAGGACAGAGAAGGAGGGGGCGCCCAAAGATGAACTGGCGACAGACAGTGGAGAGGGACCTTCAGGCAGTCAGCATGAGCTGGAAGGAAGCCTTGAGGCTGCCTGCTGACAGAGGAAGCTGAGCTACTTTGACTGCCTCATGCGTCACAAGACGCGGGAGCCCCTAAGTCTAAGTCTAAGTAACCATGTCGTACCTTGTCGAACCCGCCCTGGGCGGCGTGGTGCAGCGGTGTACAGCCCGCTCCGTCCTTCTTCTCCAGCAAACGCTTCGCTTTCGTGTTCTTCAACAGACAGAACAGAACAGACGTGTTAGACGCAGTGGCACTGAGTAGGATGTGGATTTTATACTGATATAAAGGCTTCGGTTGGAAACTTCTGGATTGAATCACCAACCTTTCGGCCCGTGTTTGGAGAGAGCCACACCCCGCGCAGGTTAAAGAACGCACCACACTTATTGAAGAGAGTAGGGGTCCTCCTTTCCGATGTGAGTGATCTTACGCAGCTTGTACTTACGTGTGCTGGTGTACAAAACTGGTGTGTTACGTCTGACGGCGGTTTACCAGTTAATGGAAACAAACAAATAAATCCGTTACCGACTGCGTGATGCAGCACAGTCGTGCAGTCACAGTCCACCCTCCTGACGTCAGTAACAAACAAACAAACAAACAAACAAAGCCCGTTACCTGCAGCAGAATGTCCAGGACTTTGGAGTGCCCGACTGCGTGATGCAGCACAGTCCTGCTGTCACAGTCCTGCCGCCTGACGTCAGTAACAAACAAACAAACAAACAAACAAGCAAGCAAAGCCGTTACCTACAGCAGAATGTCCAGGACTTTGGAGTGCCCGACTGCATGATGCAGAACAGTCCTGCTGTCACAGTCCTGTCGCCTGACGTCAGTAACAAACAAACAAACAAACAAACAAGCAAGCAAAGCCGTTACCTGCAGCAGAATGTCCAGAACTTTGGAGTGCCCGACTGCGTGATGCAGCACGGTCCTGCTGTCACAGTCCACCCTCCTCACATCGGCGCCGGTGCTCAGCAGCAGGCGAAGAGAGTCGCTATCACCGAACAGTGCAGCCAGCATCAGGGGCGTGCGCTGCATCTCGTCCTGATTATTTATGTTGTCCTGACAGAGACACGCAGGTTAAATATATGAACAGCTTATATTTAATAGTTGTTACTGAATAACGGTGGTCACTGTTTGTCAATAGTTACTGTAGACGGTATGTGTATCAGGTGGAACGGTGCAGCCAGCATCAGGGGCGTACGCTGCATCTCGTCCTGATTATTTATGTTGTCCTGACAGAGACACGCAGGTTAGATATATGTACAGCTCAGTAGTTACTGAATAACGGTGGTCACCATTAGTCAATAGTTACTGTAGACGGTATGTGTATCAGGTGGTCACCGTTAGTCAATAGTTACTGTAGACGGTATGTGTATCAGGTGGAATATAGTGCAGCCAGCATCAGGAGCGTGCGACTGCATCTCGTACCTGGTTATTTATGTTGTCCTGACAGAAACACGCAGGTTACGGCTTAGATTCATACAGCTACAAGGGAGCCGGCGGTAACTACGGAGGATTAGAAATATACAGGGAGACGATTCAGGAAAACTAAACACATTTCCGAATACAGTACTGTATAAAGTAACATAACAACATGGCAAGGTTATGATTATCATGATTATGTGGTTATGCTGCTCCGTAAAATTTAGACAAATGGTATTCAGTAACGGGTTGCACACATTGCAAATTGAGGCAACATGCGTTGTGCTTTACTTCAACAGGGCCGGGCTCGATTTACGTCACGGTTTAGGTTGAATCTACCAGACACGAACTCACTTTTGACTCGCTGGCGGTCCTCGGTCCCCTGAGCCTACCACTGGACACAAGGAAAGAAAAAACGTGATATCAGCACACGCGTACGCTGACGTCAGCAGTGTAGACAAAAAAGGATCGCAAGCAAAAGATACCCTTTACTTAATGTTCCTTAAGAATGCCAATTCAAGTCCCAAATACAAGTTTGAGTCCCACGTACTTGCTCTGTTGCTCGGTCCGGACGCAGAAAGCACCCGTAGCTGCAGGACAACAAAACAACCAGTTAAAGTTAGCCATCACAAAAAGGGTTTAGGGATTATTCGTCTGGATAGTGTTCTGGATACACGTGGACTATCCAGAACCATACCAGGTTCTGAATAAAGCGCGGTTCTAGCTGGATAAAGCACGGTTATGAATAAAGCGCAGTTCTGGAAAAAGCGCAGTTCTGGATAAAGTGCAGTTCTGGATAAAGGGCAGTTCTGGATAAGGCGCGGTTCTGGATAAAGTGCAGTTCTGGATAAAGTGCAGTTCTGGATAAGGCACGGTTCTGGATAAAGCGCGGTTCTGGATAAAGCACGGTTCTGGATAAAGCACGGTTCTGGATAAAGCACGGTTTTGGGTAAAGTGCAGTTCTGCATAAAGCGCAGTTCTGGATAAAGCGCAGTTCTGGATAAAGTGCAGTTCTGGATAAAGTGCGGTTCTGGATAAAGTGCGGTTCTGGATAAAGTGCGGTTCTGGATAAGGCACGGTTCCGGATAAAGACCAGTTCTGGCTACACCTACCTCTGGGGCTGAGCAGGTGGAACATGAGCTCGGGTGAGCAGCGGGACGTCGCCAGCGCGATGGGCGTGACGTTGGTGGAGTCGATGGCGTTCACGTCAGCGTTGTGCTGAACCTGCGGACGACAACAACCGTTCGTCACCTGGTATCCAGTCTATTTGGGGTTGGGGCAGACTGTCTTTGGGGCTCTACTAGTTTTCCCCCGTCCAGCTCGACAGACCGCCCGGTAGGGGTGTTACGCCTGCGATAGAGGTTAGTACGCCGGGAGTCGATTAACTCCTGTCGTGCAAAACCTCCCGGGAAACGTAGCTGAGGCGGGCGGGGAAGAGCTCCTGCAGCCCCGAAGAAAACCCGCCCCAATGGCGATAGACTGGACTAGACAGGTTACCTCCTATCCTGATATTCTGATAGGCGTTTATGCGTTTTTATCGTTCTATGTCTTTTGTATCTCTTTTACGCCAGCCAAATTCAGGTGGCGTCTTGGGTACTGTCAGCGTTGTGCTGCACCTGGGCACGACAACAACCGTTCGTCACCTGGTATCGTGGAGTTCTACCTCCATGCTCTAATATAGCCTCTATCAGGCTTCGGGAGGCGGCAGGGAAGAGTAGAATTTGATACAAAAAAACTGCTTGGAGATTCCCGCACGGTCGCACTGTCAAAATATTCACATCGCAAAAAAAAGGGTGTAGAAGAACAGGCGTTTACCACACGTCCGGTGCGACTGTGCGCGACTCACCAGCACCTTACCACGCGCCAGGTGGGAGACTTACGTACCAGCACCTTACCACGCGCCAGGTGGGAGACGTACGTACCAGCACCTTACCACGCGCCAGGTGGGAGACGTACGTACCAGCACCTTACCACGCGCCAGGTGGGAGACGTACGTACCAGCACCTTACCATGCGCCAGGTGGGAGACTTACGTACCAGCACCTTACCACGCGCCAGGTGGGAGACGTACGTACCAGCACCTTACCACGCGCCAGGTGGGAGACGTACGTACCAGCACCTTACCATGCGCCAGGTGGGAGACGTACGTACCACCACCTTACCACGCGCCAGGTGGGAGACGTACGTACCAGCACCTTACCACGCGCCAGGTGGGAGACTTACGTACCAGCACCTTACCACGCGCCAGGTGGGAGACGTACGTACCAGCACCTTACCATGCGCCAGGTGGGAGACGTACGTACCAGCACCTTACCACGCGCCAGGTGGGAGACGTACGTACCACCACCTTACCACGCGCCAGGTGGGAGACTTACGTACCAGCACCTTGACCATCTCCGTGTCGTTGTTGTTGACGGCCAGGTGCAGCGGCGTCAGGTCGCCGTTCCCGCGCACGTTCACGTCACAGTTCTCATCCAACGTCAGCAAACTCTGCAGCGGCGGTAAGATGTTCAATAAAGGTCAGACATTCTGTTTACCTTCGCAGAGAAAAACACTGTTTTTGCTCTGTTTCTTCTTCCTGTTTTCCTCAAACACATAAGATCTATGATCCGGACCAGACGGCTATCACACTGTGGTGTTGGATTACATTATGTAGCAAGTGGCAGGATGAAGGCATTTGAGTTATCACGGAGGTAAACTTTTCTACCTCCATTGAGTAATTAATAAGTATTAAGAATTAACAGAGCAGTAGCTTGTTCACGTAGACCGTGCGAAGTTAAACACTAACTATTGCTTTGCAAATGTTACCTTTCCAGTTCTAATATTTATATTTACCGAAGGATAACATTGTTTTTGCTCTGTTTCTTCTTCTCCAAACACATAAGGCCAATGACCTGAACCAGACGTCTGTCACCATGGTAACTGGCGTTGGGTTACATCATGTTGCAATTTTATAGCAGGAGGGATTTATACTCCTGTCTGATTATATATGTGAATGTGCTTGAGTAAGAGTTAACAGAGCAGACCATGTGCGAATGTTAACATTATGCATTTGCTTAATAGTTTGCATATGTTACCTTCCTAGTTAATTTTTATCTCGGCCGCCTGAAGCGGCCGAGATATTGTGCTCCAAAATATGTACGTTGGATGGTTGTGTACGTTGAATGGTTGGATAAATCTTGATTTCGACCGTGAAAAAAAAACCCAATGAAACCAATTACTCTGCATGTATACTTTACTTTGTGGTGTCGACCTACCGGATGATAGTGTCGTTATTCTGATACAACGAAGTTGCTAAAAAAGAGGAAATGCTGTTTACCACAAAACCATTGTTTTATATCATAGTATGCATTTAATGTTCTAGAATTTCGCTAATAGCTGCTGTAATTGGACCAATAAATCAATGACATAAATTATGTACATTAACCTTCCATATTTGCTTAAGTCGCAAGATGTCGCTTTTGATTGGTGAATAAATCACTGTGACGCAAGTAACTATTCACTTGAAATGAGAAATTACCGCCCAACAAAACGGACCATTAGATTCCCAGTGCTGTATTACTCTTTTGTTCTTGTGGTCAACTTGTTTTCTTTGCTTGAATCGCGTAAAAGACCAAGGAAAATACAATGAAATCGGCAATCGCCGAGCCGCGCCCCGATCTGCCGCCGCCATCTTGGATTTTTTTGGAAAGCTGCAATTTGGCCCAAACCGCTAGAGGGGGCGAATTAAAATGTTTAATATATTCGGTCTGAAGTTTTAGTAGCTCTAGCAGTAGAGGAGAAGTTTGATAATGCATAGAACGGATAAAATAGAATAAAATTAAATGAAATAAAATAAAACAGAATAAAAAATAAAATGAAAATAAATAAAAAATAAATAAAAATAAAATAAAATGAAAATTATTGTAGTGGTTACATATACTTAACGTTATATTGTATTTAGCAATGATCATTTTTCACTAATTCCATTGAAGCAAATGATAATGGAAGCCAACTTATTACCCTGTTTGGTGTTACAGGTATGAACATACTAGGTAATACATTCTTTCCTCTCTAGCAGTTACACAAATCTATGTGGACATCCTCCAAGAACACAAAACTACATGGCCAGCGGCCGAGATAAACTTTTTTCAAAAGTCTTGTTTTAAACTCACGTTGACGATCTTGACGTCTCCGCCCTTGACGGCGAAGTGGAGCGCCGCGTCGTCCGAGTGCGTGACGACCCCTAGCGTGTCTGCGCGGTGCCGCAGCAGCAGGTCTAGAGCGCCGTAACTGTGGTTCCGCACGGCCAGAAACACTGCAGAGCGGCCCGCCCAGTCCTTGTCGTTTATGTCTGTGTATGGATGGAAATCATGAAGATTAGCAGCAGCAGAGGGACCGTGTCACTCTCCAGGCAGCAGTTAAGGCGTCAGTTTTGGGGCGCTATTAAATTTCGGGCTTTCCTTTTGTACCGGTATCTTTCTTTCTCTGATGGTGTCATTGATTGATTTATACTGCCTTAGCACTGCGTTCTTGTCTTGTAGCCATCAAACGATCTGCTTGGACACTAGGACCGTGCTACTTGGAGGTACCTTACCGAGAGGAACAAAGTGCCGGCTTTTGAGCACTTAGCCAGGCAGGGTAATGACATACGGAAACTTGCTTACTGCCTGGGACACTCTACCCTGGATGCCAAACTCGGTTCGGGCCGCTAGCCGTTTCCCTTCGGCAGCCAAGAGCCCTTCGCCCGGGGGGAGTTAGGCTGGCCCTTACAACGGACATATTCTCCTGGACTCAACTCCTCCGTAGCGGTAATTTAAATTAGAAAGGCGGGCGAATGGCTCATGGCCGCCGAAGGAAAAGGGCTAACGGGTAACGGCCGATACTAGTCTGGCATCCAGGGTAGGGACACTCTGTCTAAATGATTTTAGTTTGCCATTGTCACTGGAATTTTTTCGGACTCTTATATGTATATGGTTTCCTTTTTGCCTGAAAACGAAGATTACGGTCGCTGCCTAACCTTCATTTTCTCACATTATTTCACCTGTAAGATGTATCATCCTGTTATTTTTTTCAGAAAAGAAACATAGAAACACCAAGTCCAGTCTTGACCCAACAACGTACGCACCGTGTCCGCCCTCTAGCAGATGGACCAGAGAGGACACGTCGTTCTTAGTGGCGGCCTCGTGAATCGTGCTGGAGACCAGGTCCAGAGGGTCGATCTCCACCTGCACGGGAGAGGAGGGTAATACACATAGCGTTTACAGTAGTAACTGGATAACGGTGCTTAGCGTTAGTCAGTATATACTGGGCTGAGATGTCCTCACTACATCCTGAGAGAAACGCAGTTTTACTGTCGCATAGAGTCGGATATGTGTCAAATTTGGCGAATGCGCTCGGGAAACACTGTAATTGTGCCTTTCATGTGTTTGAGGAGAGCCACACCTCACGCACATTAAAGAACCCACCACACTTTTCAAAAAGAGTAGGGGACCTTCCCGTTGTGAGTGGTTCAAACCTTTAATACAGACCAGTCTTACACAGCTTGTACTACTTACATGTACAAATCTGGTGTGTTCCGACTAAAAGCCATTTACCGGTTATGCGAAACAAACAAAAACAAACAAACAAACAAACAAAAACAACAGTATATGGAACCTTGAAGGAGGGCTCGCTGCTGACTTGTCTGGACAGGGCCGGCCGGTTCTCGTAGATGTAGGCCGTTCCCCGCTTCAGCGACTCGCCCGTTACCCGCCGGTTCGCGTCGGCACCGTCCAGACGGCACTGGTCCTGACCTGGCAACACAGGAGTGTGTTTGATTAGTCTGGTATCCAGTGTTATCGTGGTTGGGGCATGGTAGTTTGGGCAGGCTGTCTTCGGGGCTCTAAAAGTTTCCTCCCGCCCAGTACCAACAGGCCGTCCAGCCGGCACTGGTCCGGGCCTTCGCAGAAGGAAAATATACAACTGTTTCTTCATCATTTTCTTCTTCTTCTCCAAACAATTAAAGCCAATGACCTGGACCAGGAGTCTGTCACCATGGTAACTAATTACAACATTGTAGCAGACAGCCGGTGGTGTTGGGTTACATTATGACAGAGCTAGAGTGGCTGCTCATCATATGTTAAATGTGTTTGAGTAACAATAAACAGAGCAGTAATTTGTTGGGCAAGGTAAACATTATGCATTTGCTTTGAAAATGTTACCTTTCTAGTTCTTTCTATTGTTATCGCATTTTTTGTTGGATGCAATCATTTGCAAGCATGGAATTGTATATTCTGTCATACCTATTTTTTTATTTATCTATTATTTGAAATGTATTTATGATGCCCCCCCCCCCGCCGAGCCTGGGTGCCATCCTATTTGTATGCCGGGGCTCCCATACTCGCTATTAAAGAATCATATTAGGGAGCGGGTATGGGGCCCGGCATACAAATAGGATGGCACCCAGCCTACCGCCTTTTTTGGCTGCATTTTATGCAGTCCTCTACTTTCTGTTTATGTTTTCTGTGCAAATAAAAACAAACAAACAAACAAACAAACAAAAGTGCATGTGCACAGGGATGTCTGCAAACCAGAACCGTAGATATGAGACATACTCTCGTTAAATAAAGAAACTTGAAACCTGGAGTGATGTTTTGTGTTATATGTGCAGGAAGCATTGAAAATCGCTGACATGGCGACATGTAAACCCCCAGGTAAACAAAATAAACAAACAAACAAACAAACAGAGGAAACAGACCTATCCGCGTCCCGTCCGCCAGGCGGCCTCCCAACACGACCGGTTCGCTCACACGCCGCGCCATGGCTGGCGGCTGGAACCTCGGGGGTCCAGGGGAACGTCTTCTGCAAGGATAAATAAATAAATAAGTAAATAAATAAACAAACAAACAAACAAACAGCCAGGCACGACCGCTTCGCTCACACGCCGCGCCATGGCGGGCTGGAACCTCGGGGTCAGGGGAACGTCTTCTGCAAGGATGAATGAATAAACATATATAAATAAATAAATAAACAAACAAACAAACAGCCAGGCACGACCGGTTCGCTCACACGCCGTGCCATGCCTGGCGGCTGGAACCTCGGGGTCAGGGGCAGGTCATCTGTAAGTACAACTCGTGTTTAGACACTGCAGCTCCTTCCGAGAAATGCACAGTAACATGTACGTGCCTCCGGGCGTTGTTTTCGGAATGCTCGTACTTGCTACTAACACACACAGACGGACAGCTACACACACGGACGGACAGACAGACACACGCGCGCGCGCGCACATACACACGCACGCACGCAGTCACACGCGCACGCACGCACACACGCACACACACACACACACACACACGCACGCACACACACACACACACACAAACACACACACTCCCAAACACAACACCTACCACCAGTACACAGCCACTCCGCACCCGATGTTTTTTTCCTCAAACTACGTGTATCATATCGGACACGAAGAAGAAGCCAACGACAATGTGTATCATAGGCCTATGTCTCATAACATGTTGGCATGTATTTTATACACAACATGCGTTCAACTCATCATAGTACTGGTATTAACCAGGAATAATGAAGATGAACATGCCCCACCACGTCTGACACAGGTGTATGTCTTAGACCCTTGCGTGTGTGTCTTACAGGTGTGGTCTGTTTGATCGATCTCCCGAAGAAGTCAAAACAAGACATCAGCTTGGTGCAAATCAGTGAGATTACACAACATCTTCTCTACTCCGTCAAGTAGCAGCTACTTTAAGTCATGACTATCATTGAGAATTTTGACTAAAATCGGAACATGCCGAAAATGGGCAAAGATGTCTGTTGCCATGCCGGAACGTGGATGGCAGATAAATATGAAGATAGGAGACGAGACAAGGCTCTGATTTAATGTTTTACATGTACTTTGTTGCAGTGATGCAATTCATTCCTTTTATTTGTACAATGATTGAAAACTCATTTTACAAAGTTGTTTCATTGAGAAATGGATGTTGTAATAGTTGGCAGTAAACTTAGCACAATATAGGCCAGGTATTATTTCTTGTTTAACAAGGTTTATGATGTCAAAATTTGAAAATGTAGAATCTTGTTTTTTTTTTTGGCCGCCTTGTCGCATTAGATTTGTCTGCGGAGGATGTCATCCATAAAATTTGCTTGCTGTGGCCTTAAGAATTTTACTACTTCCAGGGTGTCGTCATTTTCTTTTTTTGGGTTCGCTTGCCACACTTCCTTCCTCCTGGGTAGTGCAGAAAGCGCTGGAAATTCTCGGAAATTTCTTGAGGTGTGGTGATCTTTATGGTCGGGATGGTGAGTGGGTTTGCAGATGCGTGACTGCCGTTCCGCATCGACGATCACAAAACTCTATTGTCTGTTGACTTTTCAGCATGAAAGTTCATCTGAGTTGGTAGACAAGTTACATTATGAAAAACTTAAACTGTTCTCCAACTCAAAATTTGACTCACCAGAAATTTTCGACTGTCCACAGCATTTGGGTCAGATAGCTGAGGAAGACTGAGTGATTCAGTTGAAAATTGCTGGTGAGTCAAATTTTGAGTTGGAGAACAGCTTAAGTCTGTTGACTGTTGGTTGTGTCACTAACTTGTAGCATTTGTAATTTCTATGTATATAGACCTACAACAATCGATTGTAACTCCACTTTGTAACTTTCACATGAACACCGCTACTGTAACAGACTTAACGTGATTCGGGGAAGGCATAGCCTCTACCAGGCACCGCGGATCGATGGAAAATTAGTAGAAAATGGCCATATAATATAAAAGGGAATACTCATGACTATACCAGGGCAGTTATCCTGCCGTGAGTCGCAAAATGTACTCTCTCTGGCGTCCAACTTCATATATGTATATATGCCTTCAAATATCAGAGTTATCAACCAAGAATTGAGGTATTCAAAAACTCGTATTTCCCCAGAACTATCGTAGACTGGAACTCGTTGCCACCAAGCACAGTTGGGGCATCATCACCACGGTAGTCAGAGGTAGACTGAGGTCCGGTAGCTTATGTTAGCCGAATTTATTGGGTGAGTTTATAGTACAAGCATGGCCTTTAAACAACTTCTGCAATCAAATGTGCAAAGATTAAGTGTAACAAGTCGTTCGGTGTGATATAGCTAGCTGCCGCCGCGCCGCGTGCCTGCGAAGCTGGTGTGTTACGCCGAAGGGCAGTTATACCGACTATACAGATACAGATACGCTTTTTTGGCCAATTTCTACTATTTTCCAGCGTTCCGCGGTGCCTGGTAGAGGCTAGGGAAGGCACAGCATGTCTTATCCCCAAGGCTAAATCCTAATATATGTTTGGAATGTATGAGCCAACACAACAAGAATTCGGTGATCTCATATCTCAAATGTACGTGAATTTTTGTAAATGTTTTTTTATTTTATTTATTTGACTGTGATTTTTGGAAATAAGGTCGTAATTACCATAATCTATTTTAGTCTATGTCTTTTTTTTAGTTTAGAAAATGTAAGAACCGGCACAGCAAGCCCCGTGACGTCACACAGGGAAGTGGAAGCGGTACGAAGCGGTCACGTGTTGCCGGTGACCCGTACTCTCCAAGCAGAGGTTTGGGTTTTTGCTTGTTTTTTGTGTTCTTAGGCTTTGTGTTATCGGGCATTCTTTTTTGCACTGTTCTTTACTTTGTCGTAAAAAAAAGATAAGTCAAAGTTAAAGAGCCTTCCCGCGTCAAGTGACGCATAGGGCGGCGCCCATCTCCGCTTTATAGCCCTGGGCCACACACAGTAATCACTACAGCAGGGGGCTAGTCCACTGGTAGTGGTGTGTGTTTAACTCCCATACTGTTTCCCTAATACTGAGTGCTAAGCAGAGAAAGCCGTATGGACCATTTTTAAAGTCTTTGGTATGACTCAGTCGGGGATCGAACTCACGACCTACCGAATGCAAGGCGAGCACTCTACCCACTTGGCCATTGCACTGGTAAAAAAAGACACCAGTGCAAAAATAAACAATGCCCGATAACACAAAGCCTAAGAACACACCAAAAACAAGCAAAACCCAAACCTCTGCTTGGAGAGCCGGTGACCCTGGCTAGAGGTGACCTTCAGGAATCCTGCACACGCAGGTCGGAGACTCCACAGCACAAAAACACGGAAATACGGCGAGAAAAGGAGATCTTTATCCCTAGCGTCATTCAAAGCTAAAATATGGCTCTCCCTTGGAGACCAGTTTTCTGTATAAGACAGCACACAGTCACATATTATATTGTATTTTCACCAATCTTACGGTATGTAATTGTATTGTATGTAATTTGTATATGATAATGACCACAATTTGTTGACCCTATGTAAATAAGACGTTTTTGAGAATTTATGCCACTTGTATGTATTTAACCACACTTTTTCCCCAGGGCCAGCCCTTAATAATAGCTTCAAGCTAGTTGGGCTGCCCTGGCTGTGTTGCACCAGCCGAACCAATAAATAAATAAATAAAAAAAGGAGATCTCATGCCGATAATCCTACATGAGCTCCAGAGACACTAGAAATAAACACCTTCTGTACACATTCAGAGCACGAACAAACAGATACAAGAACAGTCCTATTCCATACATGATAAAACTACCAAACGAACAGTAACTCCTCCGCATTTAGAACATTATTACTACGTAAATATTAATGTTTGTACCAAATGTCAATTTGTAAATAGCCTTATCTATCGATGTGAAAAGTATGCAATTCAGCCACTTTACCTGGCTGCGATGTACTTTTTAAGGATCATGTTTATGTTGATCAAATAAACCAGTCATTCATTCATTCATTCATCGTGAAAACATGTGCAGAGTCGCTTCCGTCTAATCTCCAAGCAGATCCTAAGGTAGCAAAATTGGCCAGGCAGGCACTGCAGGTTTCAAAGCACAACAACACGGAAATGGGACGAGAAAAGGTGATCTCATGTTCCGATAATCCAGCATCGTGACACTGTGAAAACCTGTGGAGAGTCGCTTCCGTCTCTGTCAGGTCGCTATGGCGTGTTTTTCAAAGCCGACATTTACTCGAGTCAAATAAATAAACAAAAAACAACAGGACGTCATTCAACTACCAAAGTCAACCTACTCTCTAAACCTCTTGAGTGAATAAAGTTGTGCATGTCTTTACTAGACAGATAAAGTTCAGGTTTGCTGTTGTCGGGCCGAAGTCGTAGCCATACGGCAAAATGGTCAAGTCAAATTAAAACAGCAGAGCGACATTGAACCTCCAAAGTCGACCTACTCTCTAAACATGTTGAGTGTTTAAAGTTTTGTATCAGTACTGAGTTGAGATTGAGATTGGGTTTTGGGAGTCTCAGTACTAAACGGTAAACAACATGGCCCGACATTTACTCAAGTCAAACAGACAAACAAACAAACAAACAAACAAATAAACAAACAAACAAACAAACAGGACGTCACTCAACCCCCAAAATCAACCTGCTCTCTAAACCTAGTGCTTAAAATTGTGCATGTCTTAAAAAGACAGATAGAGTTGAGATTGGGTGTTGTCGGGTCGAAGTGTAACCGTATGTCACAGTACTAAATGGTAAACAACATGACTCGACATTTACTCAAGTCAAATAAACAAACAAACAAACAACAGCACGTCACTCAACCTCCAAAGTCAACCTACTCTAAACCTACTCTTAACGATCCTTAACGTTGTGCATGTCCCTTAATAGTCAGATATAGTCCAACTTGGCTGTTGTCGGGCCGAAGTTGCAGCCATATGGCCCAATGGTCAAGTCAAACAAACAAACAAACAAACAAACAAACAACAGGACGTCACTCAACCACCAAAGTCAACCTACTCTAAACCTAGTTGTTTACTTAAAGTTGAATTGAAGACAGATACAGTTCAGCTGGCTGTTGTCGGGCCAAAGTTGCAGCCATATGGCCCGGAAGTCTCGGCACTACACGGCAAACAGCATGACTCGACATTTACTCACCGCACACTTCCCCCTCCCCGTGACTTTGGTCCACAGACATGGCGGGAACGGCGCTGAACCTGCGCGCGAAGTTCCGCATGAAGTTCCCGTTCTCAGAGTCTTTGGACGCCATCGTCGGTAAGTGTCAGTTCTCAGCTCAGGTCTGTTATATGGACTCCGCTTGTTCCGTGCGGACCGTGGTTGTAACCATGTTGTTGTGCAGTACTCCGTACTACAGTAGTTCCCACAGTGTGCAATCCGTGACCCGAAACTGGATGGACAGGTTTTAAGGGCTCGAAATACCGGGTGAATGTTCACCTTAAGTGCACCCAAATTTGGAGCTGTGCACCTAGCCTCCATAGCATGCCAAAAACTGGGGGTTTGGGGGGTCTTCTGGATCATTGGGAGCTTTTATGTGCTATTTTCTGATTGCATATAGACAACATAGCCGGCCTGGTCGAATTACCCCCGTTTTTTTAGAACCTTTTTATTTGGTTCAAAAACAAAAACAATCAGAAGGAAACTTTACAAGAAAACTATGACAGATCAGAACAACTCCTGACACAATTCTAGTCACAATTCTTTATTCATGGTCTTTTCAAGTACGCTACAAGAGGTAACAACTCATAAATGGACGTAAGAAAACGGGCTGCAGGTGAACCATGCGGGGAGGTTAGGCACCGAAGACCACCAAACCCACAGTTCTATAAGCCTGCTACGGAGGCTACTGTGCACCCAATTTCTTCTGTGGGTGCACCAGTGCACCCAAATATTTTCGTAGGTTTACGTATGTAAAGATGTTAAATGTATTGTACACATATTCTTAACTGTCTAAGTGTCTAATAAAATCGTTGCTGTAGTACTCTTCTGTAGAAACGACACATGATTAGTTCCTGCTGACATTCAAGTTATTCTATTTTATATAGTGCACCCAAAAAACGTTTTGTGCACACAATATTTTAAAGGTTGAGTGCACCAGTGCACCTATTCCCCAAACTGAATTTCTTTATATATGTATATATGCCGCCACCCACACAGGGGACAATACAGTACTCTTTTTCACCTGAGCGAAGTGAGGAAAGTCGTGTAAAGTGCCCGAAATCCCAAGGGCGCAAGATCGGTGGCATGTCAGAACTCGAACTCGGGACCACTTGGCTCCGAGTCGAGCCGCTACGCCAAACGACCCCACAATTTCGAGCCCTGCGTCTGTCTTACCCCGGCTCTTCCCACACTGCTCTCAGCCCCGGGGCGATTCTCACCTGCTCGCTTTCACGTGACCTGATCGGCACAATGTGGTCTTTTTCTATTAAGATCGTAAAAAAAAATATTTATATGTCTTTCAAGATCGCCGCGTTCGTGCTTTGTTTTATTCTGGTAAAGTTCTTGTGGTTACTGGTTTTTAGCTCTAATTGACAAAGTGTCAAGGAAAAGGGAGGACAACTTGTCAGGGACAAGGGATCGAGGACAACTTTTGGGAGGACAACGTGTAAAGGTGTCAATGCACCTGTTTTGTCCTCCCTTCCACACTTGTGGTAAATTCAAATAAACAAAGATTTTAAGTGACGAACTTTACCACCTGACGAGGGTAGCATCGCGCCCTCTTAATGAAAAGTAAACTGAAAAATGTCAAATAAGTTCATTGGCAAAGGACTAATAGGCCGGATCGATCCAAATGCCAAACAGGTCATTCAAAACCATGACTGACAGTAACTAAAATTATAAGCTGTGATCTGTCGACGTCTCTTTGTGTACTTTACTAGCGTGAGAATGTGACCTCGTTTCACCTGTAGTCTGTAGCGACCGCCAGAGAAATAAATCACTGCGCAGCTGAAAGTCTACTCTCCAAGCAGAGGTTTGGGCTTCGACTTGTTTTTGCTTGTTTTAGGCATTTTTGTTGGACTTTCTTTTTCGTACCGGTATTTATTTTTTGTCAGCTAAACGTTGGTGTCTGTACAGCCGGTATAACCGCCTTTCGGCGTAACACACCAGCTTCGCAGGCACGCGGCGCGGCGGCAGCTGGCTATATTACACCGGTCGACTTGTTGAACCTAACCCTTGAACTTCTAGCTCTAGAGATTGTTTAAAGCTATCTATTGACAGTGCCCCTACTGTACTTGGTGACAGCGAGTTCCACTCTGCGATAGTTCTAGGAAAGAATGAATTCTTGAACACCTCAATCCTTGGTTGATAACTCTGGTACTTGAAGGCATGGCTATTTCTTGTTCTCTTCTGGGCTGGTGTATTGGATACTGCCAGGACAATTTAATACTGCCTTGTAGCCAAATGTCTGCTTGTTGGAGATTACTGAAAGTATAGTTTGTGGCCTGTCTCTGTGTACCAGTGTGTGTACTTTCCGCTCACAGTTACTTGTGGAAACATCTTTACTTAGCTGAGACTTAGATGTGTAACAAACACCAGCAAAAATGTGCCTCTACATGCCATCTACCCCAGGTAATGGTTCTTGTTTCTAGTCGCCGCCAGGTGTTCACTGGTCCATGACGAACTGAGGCGGACGGCATCCGCGGCATGCTAGTTGTCTAACTTTACTCCCGTACGGTAGCTAAACCTACTCTCCAAGCACTCGCAGAGGTTTGGGTTTGGGGTCATTTTTGGCGTGTTTTTAGGCCTTTTTATCGGGGTTTCTCTTTTGCACTGAATTTTTTCCCACCAAACCCACAAAAAATTCAGTGCAAAAGAGAAACCCCGATTAAAAAGCCTAAAACACGCTAAAAATACCCCCCAACACCCAAACCTCTGCTTGGACAGTAAGCTAAACCCTCATCTCCAGATCATACGGTGACCAGGCAGTATCCATTGGCCAGAGGAGTGTCCATTTGCCACAGGTGTCCAATGGATACTGTCTGGGCAATTTGATACTGTCTTTTGCGGCCACCGAAACATCTGCTTGGAGATGAGAGTGCGAAGCCGATGTTGGCCTAACTCCTCAATGGACTGTAAACTGAACTGTTATGAACTGTTTTGATTCGAGAGCAGTCTCACCTTTAAAGATTCCACACAATGCTGTTTTTAATATCCATGATGTCGAACCACTTCGCTATATGACTGTATGGAAAACCATGTCGTCAATTATTGAATGTTACTTGTATATATTTGTATATGTATTATATTAGCCCACGGTGTTAGTTTTACTGAGTGGAATGTAAAATTCAGCGCAATTCAGTGTATACTGCAAGGCCGATTTGTATCGTGTTTTTACCAATTAACCATTTAACATCTGTGTCCATAATATCACCAGGGTCCATATACATTTATGTATTAATATCGCCACCTTGAGAAACAGTGTGCTTAAAGATATTTTTTACTGTAACATACTTTTGGTATGCACTCCTTCACACATCAAATGAACATACCTAGGGTATGTTGCAGTAAAAATATCTTTAAGCACACTGTTTCTCAAGGTGTCGATATTATGGACCCTGGTGATATTATGGACACAGATGTTACTACTACTACTACTACTACTACTACTACTACTACATTAGCTAAACCCCAACGTTGGTGGCAGCAACAGAAAATCGCGTTCCAAGGTCCAAATGCTTTTTGTAAGTTAAAGTTAAAATTAAAGTGCTTCCCGCACCACGCGGTGCATAGGGCGGCGCCCATCTCCGGTTCAGTGGCCCTTGGGCCACACAGTTGTACGAACATTACGTTATATAGTTGCATAGGGCGGCGCCCATCTCCGGTTCAGTAGCCCTTGGGCCACACAGTTGTACGAACATTACGTTATATAGTTGCATAGGGCGGCGCCCATCTCCGGTTCAGTAGCCCTTGGGCCACACAGTTGTACGAATATTACGTTATATAGTTGCATAGGGCGGCGCCCATCTCCGGTTCAGTGACCCTTGGGCCACACAGTTGTGCGAACATTACGTTACGAAACAAGCGACCGTTTTACGTCAGCAACATCGCTGTCTTCGCCTCACAGATATCAGTACGCTATGGGACAGGGTTGATTCGACTTACTGCACTAAAATGGCCAGAAAAAACTTTGAAAATCTAAGAATTTTCCTGTCTCGAAATCGCCTTTAAACCCCGGCGTTACCTAGCCTCCTGTGCAGGCCCCGCGGCGGTGGGGAAGAGTTTTTAACGCATTATTTTAATATAGCCTGCCATCCTACATAGCCGCCGAGAGAAGGTTGCTTTCCGCCCCGTGGGCAGTGACCTAGTTCTGAAGCCTGCGATCAGACCGTAGTGGATTACTTTTTGTATTGTTTTGTCATTTTATTGGTATGGCGGCTTTGAAAAGGTGTTTTATGTCAGAAACACCTGTAAATTTCGCCATGCCATGCACAGTGCATATTGTACGTGGTAAAACTTAATAAATAAATAAAATAAACAAACATGAAACACACCTCTGATGCTTAAATTGTTGGTTTATTACAGGTAAGAACGGCTTTGATCAGCCGCAAATCCACAGGTGATTTGAAGGTGTTCAGTTGAGGCGGGTCCGGGGGTTAGTTCGGCTGGCACTCTAGCCTCCACCAGGCCTTCCTACGGGGGTTCCGGGCGTAGAATTCGTCAAAAGGTTTATTGTACATATAACGTTAGTTATGTGAGAAAATTTTGTTGTAACAAACTCACGTAATTCAGGGACGGCACATCTGTGTCCCTGCCAAAGTCTCTTTGTGAGAAACAATAATGAAGAATCTTTGTTGCTACTTTTAAGAACGGGAATAGTCAGCTAGAAGGGTCGGTCCGCGGGAGTTTTCCCTCCTCTGAAGAGGGAAAAAGAACTACGGTTGCCAACTCCCTTGGCTAAAACATTCTTAAATATCATTCTCATTTTAAACTCCTTTTTTGGCTTAATTTCACCGTATTTGAACCCCGTGACGTTGTTAACGCTGATCTGGTGGATGCTAGTCGCAAAAAGTATCCATCAGACTCGTTTTACAGGCTGAATAAATAGTAGAAATCGGCCCACAAAATGTATCTGGTCAGGGAAGTTGGCCGGCCATAGAGGGTCCAGTTTGCCAGTTAAAATGGCCGGCAACTCCCCTGGCCAGCTACATTCTTTCGAAGCCGATTTCTACTATTTATTCAGCCTACAGAGGCTGAGCCTGGTGGAGACTAGTTGTTCTGGTGGATGCTGGTCGCACGGGCCGTGTTGGGAGGAGGTTAGTGGCCCTGGCCGTGGTTGGGGCTGGGGGTGGTGGCGCAGGCCGTGCCCTGGGCAGCGGCGGCGTCCTGAAGCAGGACGATCAGGTTGATCAGCCGCTCCGCCTCCCAACGCTCCAACTGCCCGTCAGCTGTGGGGGGATGGAGGAATGAATGAGTGAGTGAGGGAATGAATGAGTGAGGGAATGAATGAATTAATGAATGAATGAATGAATGAATGAATGAATGAATGAATGAATGAATGAATGAATGAATGAATGAATGAAGGAATGAATGAATGAAGGAATGAGTAAGTGAATGA